AAGGTGCGGAAAGGACAGGTGCGGAAAGGAAAGGTGCGGAAAGGAAAGGTGCGGAAAGGAAAGGAACGGAAAGGAAAGGTGCGGAAAGGAAAGGTAAGGAAAGGAAATGCGGAAAGGAAAGGTGCGGAAAGGAAAGGTGCGGAAAGGAAAGGTGCGGAAAGGAAAGGAAAGGAAAGGAAAGGAAAGGAAAGGAAAGGAAAGGAAAGGAAAGGAAAGGAAAGGAAAGGAAAGGAAAGGAAAGGAAAGGAAAGGAAAGGAAAGGAAAGGAAAGGAAAGGAAAGGAAAGGAAAGGAAAGGAAAGGAAAGGAAAGGAAAGGAAGAATTATTATAACTTGAACGAAGACACATTTTCTTTTCTCCTTAGCAGCAAACTCATTCTTTTTCAAAAAGCATTATGAGGCATCATGGAAGTTTTCAAGAAATGGTCCTCTGCAGTTTAAAGAGGAATAAATTTTTCTTGTCCTCTAGCCAGGTTTAGGTCTCAGCCTCATGCACTAGAGGAACTATGTCATGGTGGTCAGTAAGGGGCTTTCATAGACCAAAGTTTGAGGGCAGAGTGTGCTGAGTGTGTGTACAAGAACTGGACCATTTATGACCAGAATTCTGCTTCTGTGAAAAAAAACCCTAAGATTTGTTAGATTCTTACTAACTTTTTTTTCTGGTTTGTGTGTTTCTGTAAACCCTAAATTCAATTACAAATCAAATTTATAATCAAAAATGCTAGATTTTACAATGAAAACTTTTTCACTCTTCAATGTGTAAACCTCTTGAAATCACTGGCAGGATTTTAAAATCTATTTCACTTTACCAGAACACACCTTTTTCTTCAGTTTATCCTGATTCACAGTGAACTGAGGTAGCTATTAGCTTTAGCTGAGCAAAATATTTTGCTTGCTGTCCTTGTCCATCTAATTCAATAGTGCTTGTCCTGACATGCTCTTTCTCTGATGTGACAGACTTTTGTGACTTATGCATACACCAATGACAAGCCATTGCAGCCTGCCCAGGCATTTGCATCCCTTTCACTGTTCCACATTCTGGTCACACCTCTGTTCCTGCTGTCCACCGTGGTTCGTTTTGCAGTCAAGGCCATCGTGAGGTAAGTGGTCCTTCTCCTTCCTCCAACTCCTGAACACTCATGTTCAGTACCAGAAAAGGTTGTTTCCATGTGCTCATGTGGAAGAGTGTTATGAGGTGGGACTCTGATACTAAAGATGTGAGAGAAATCAGAGTCACCCTTCTTTTTTACTCCATGACACAGAGACAAAGAAACAGCACAGGAAGGACAGGGAGCTGCTGCAGCCAGGCCAGAGCAGGGACACCAAGGGGATCAGAGGGATGGAGCAGCTCTGCTGGGAGGAAAGGCTGAGGGAACAATTGGGATTGTTCAGCCTGGAGAAGAGAAGGCTTTGGGGTGACCTCATTGTGGCCTTGCAGTGCCTGAAGGGAGCCCACGGGAAAGATGGAGAGAGACTCTTGATAAGGGCCTAGAGTGACAGGGGAAAGGCAGAATGGCTTCACACTGACCGAGGGCAGGTTTAGATTGGGTATCAGGAAGAAATTGTTCCCTGTCAGGATGCTGAGGCCCTGGCACAGATTGCCCAGAGCAGCTGTGGCTGCCCCAGCCCTGGAAGTGTCCCAGGCCAGGTTGGATGGTGCTCTGAGCAACCTGGACTAGTGGAAGGTGTCCCTGCCCATGGCTGGGGGATAACAACAAGGTGGTCTTTAAGATTCTTTCCAACCTATGCCATTCTGTGATTCTATGATTGCTAATGTTCCATTGTTTTTACAATTTCACTAACTTTAGCAGTTTGGATTCAGAGCTGCACTGAATTGGGAGATGCTCCTCCTCTTACACTCCCACCACTGATCTTCCCTAGCACTTTCTGGGCTCTTGTCAGCACTGAGGGGGTGAGAGAGCCTCTCTAGCAAGACCAGCCCAGCTGAAGCAAGGAAGAGTAACTGGCTTAACCCTACCTCCACATAAAGTACATTGGGCTATAAGTGAGAATTTAATGATGTCCTGCATCCTGTCCCAAGTATTTATTTCTGTAAAACAGCCCAAGAGAGCAGCTTCCTTCATGCTGGGCTATAGAGCACTTAATCTTGAAGGAGCAGATTGGTATAAGTCAAATTTCAGGCTTTTGGGTGTTGTGTCAGAAGCCTGTAAGGACAAAGTCACAGTCATAGGGTGGTTATGCAGACCTACACACTGCCAAGATGTCCCAAGAGGTGCAAAATGACACCTGGCTGGCAGTAGAGTGTCAGATGCCAAGCACTAGCAGGATGTGAAGACAGAATTAATCTTCCCGCTCAGAAACATCATTCCTTCATGCCAAGGCTGAGGCACATTGGCAAACATTGTGCTCTCACTGCTTTTTTTTGGTGGGTAATGGTAATACCAAATAGCAGTCTAGGGGACTTCAGGCTCCACAGCTGTCATTTGCCAGTGACACGGTGACTTTAAAAAACAAAAATAATTAAACAGAGTTGATTTTTATCAAAGCAGCAGCAGGAGCAAGGCCACATGAGATGTTTTCCCTAGGTTGAAAATTACTTCTGAGTAGTGGAAAATCTCCAGGCTCCTCTATAAATCATCCAAGCCTCTACATCTCTGTACTATGTTTAGCATAGCCCTAATATCAGAATGGTGGGTACATTTTCTTTAACACTGCTGGCCACCCCTCAGGGCAATATTTAAAGTCCAGTTTTGCCGAAACAAACTGCATCCTTTGTCAAACTCATTTCCTAACATCTTTCTCCCATGAACATCATGTCCCCAGAAGTGAAGGATAAAGAATACGTATTTGGCCACTCCATAGCTTCTTCCTCAATCAAATACATACATGAATATGTGCTTACTATTTTTGTAATTAAGAGCTTATACTTTGGTTAGAATCTCAACTTCTGTTCAAAAGTAGTTCTAGTGTTACTAAATCTTCTGAGGGTACCTCATTCAAATGCAAAATAAGAGTTGGTGTCATTTTAGGTGCATGATCTAAACAAGGTCTTGTATCTTTTACAAGAAAATTAATTCTTTCTTAGCCCCTTATGTATGACTGAAATTCTGATATGGAAACATCAGAATTTATGGAGGACATAAATTTTCTGTTCAAGAGAGGAGATAGGAACAGGCACGCTGGCAGCTGGAAATAAGGACAATAGCAGTACTTTCTTGCTAACCTGTCTCTCTGTGGCTTGAAGGTGTATTGATAATTTAACACAAAATACATAGACAGGCTTTGAGGTGCACTACTTATCCATTTGCAGAATAATGATCTGAAGGCATATATCCTTCTGCTTTCTCAGTCTCTGGCCCAATGTACCGCGATTTTAGTTTTTGCAAGGTAATGGCTTCACCATGACTGGTATGTGATTTTGTTCATCCCTTCCCCAGAATGATAAAGAACCAGGTCCTTACAGCACTCTGAAAGGAAGAGGGACAGAAAGAGGATCAAATCCTTCTCTGATGAAGAATGAATTGAACCTGTGCACTGTTTCCCAGTGGACAATTTTAAGAGCTAGGCAAAGAGTTGCTGTGTGTCTCCAGGGCTGGCCATGGCTGTGCTGAGGTGTGCAGTACCCCACCCTTGTGAATGCAATGCATAGAACCATGGAATCCTAGAATGCGCTGAGTTGGAAGGGACACACTGGGATCATTGAGTCCAGCTCCTGGCCCTGCACAGAACACCCCAGGAATCCCACCCTGTGCTTCAGAGGGTTGTTCAAATGGTCCTTGCACTCTGGCAGCCTTGTGGCTCTGACCACTTCCCTAGGGAGCCTGCTCCAGTGCCTGACCACCCTCTGGGTGAAGAACTTTTTCCTGATATCCAACCTAAATCTCCCTGACTCAGCTTCATGCTGTTTCCTTGAGCCCTATCACTGGTCACAGAGAGCAGAGCTCAATAGTTGCCCCTTCACTTCCTCTCATGAAGAAGCTGCAGAACTTTCCCCTTCACTTCCCCTGATGAGGAAACTGCAGAAGTGCTGTGGAATCTCTCCTCAGTCTCCCCTTCTCCAGGCTGAACAAGCCAGGTGACCTCAACTGTTCCTCATATAGCTTCCCCTCCAGACCCTTCACCATCCTCATGACCTCCTTTGGACAGTCTCTAATAGCTTTAATGTCTTTTTTTTTAATATATATATGAAGAAAAAGCTGTGTCAGGATGCACCCACTGCCCTGGCATTTCCAGAGGATGGAGGTGGGTGAATGACTTACTTCTGCACTGTGCCTGCACTGTCCTGAGAAAGGCACAGAAGACATAAGCCTGCCAAGAGGGAAACAATTCCCATGGAGTTCCCTTGGCACCCTCATGACTTGCTCTACTCTTCATTCCCAGCTACCACTACAATGCTTAAATATTTTCATCTATCCTTCTTCCACACACATAAATCTTCATTTGCCATCAGGGTGGCAGATGAAAGTATCCCATAAACTTCTTTTTAAACATTTCTGATAAATCCTGCTGGCATGACTGCACAAAAAAGGAAATGTATTCGTGAAAACCTGGTTTTATGTAATTCACTGTCCTGCTTTCTTTCAAGTGTACAGAAGCTGAATGAGTTTCTCCTGAGTGATGAGATTGGAGATGACAGCTGGAGAGGGGGGGACAGCTCTGTACCTTATGAATCCTGTAAGAAGCACACAGGACTTGTAAGTTCTGCTTTATGACCCTGAATTTCAAAGCAGAGAGGCTATATAGCCCCACACAAGCCCAGTGGCCAAGCTGACAGAGCCTGAGTGCTTTGATTTCTAGCCTAGCTGGTTCTAATATGGACTAGTTTTACCTCTTTTATGTCCTAGTCTCTGTGTTCTTATGACATGAAGGGTCCCCAAACACACTTAAGTATTGCTGAAGTGTCAATAGCAAAAAAACCCAAACCTAAAGCAAAACCTAAAATCTATCAAACCTAAAGCAGCCTAAACCAACCATAAGATGCCAACATATTTAAATATTACTAAAATTCAACCTTCTTCATTTTTCTAGAAGGCCTGGGTGGATTTCTTGTGGTTATAGGGTTTATACTATGTACTGCCTGTACATCTCATCTTATACTGGGCATCCTTAGGGAGGAACATTTGTGCTTTGGGTAATTCAGAATTAAAGGTGGAAAAAAACAGCACCAAACTTTGTGAAATAGGAATTAATTTCAAAGTGCTATTTCTGGAGTACTAAACATAGAGTGAGTTTGAGTAAAATTTGAGGACAAAAAAAACACAACAAAGATGATTTGGGAAAAGGTTTTTTTCTTTCATTTTGACATTTTTCTTAAGCTATATATTTCAACAGTTTCAAACTGCCTGTACAATTTGAGAGGTGACTGAAACTTGAAGATGGCAACAGAAAGATAGGATTAGCACAAAGTAAATTTCATTTTAGCTTGACAACCTGAAATAACACCCTTCTTGTTTTTCTGGGCTAACAGTAATAACAAGACAAACGAAAATGAGATTGTTTCAGCTTTTATTTTATTTTTCCTGTCCTCCTTTTGCTTAGTACTACAGAAACTGTGGATGATGGGGAGAGGGTTTGAGAAGGATGGTAAAGATGAAATTTGGGATGGTTGTGCATGGGAAGCAAAAATCCCCATATTTTCTATGCTTCAGTTAAGGGTGATTAAAACATATAAAATGTGTGCATGACAGTGGTGTATCTGTATTATCATATATTGAAAAGCACTGGCTGCTTCTCCTGAGCTGGAATGGTGGTAGGAAAGGGAATGGATTGTTTGCTTTAGAGGGCACCAAATGCTGTCTTCTCATGAGGATTCCAACTTTTCTCCTGTTTTCACCTCTCTCTAGCACACCAAGGCCATCAATAGGAGGCAGCCCCTGAGGTATCAGCTTGAAAGCTACGAGCAGCCAAAAAGGAAGCACACACGACCTGTGGAGATCGATGATGTGGCCATTAAGGTAGTTCGGAAAATGTTTTCCCTCTTGAAAATAGGGAGCAGATCCTCCAGCAACAGTATCTGATGGTGACAAAATTGCTGCCCTTATTTCAAATTTTCCATGGCAAGAGCAAGCTGTTAAATAAGTTAGCACTTTAGGCAAATTTACAGTGAGAGGAGTGGACTTCAGACCAGTTTTTACAGTTATTTAGTGTCTTCTCAGGAAATAAAGAGGCATCATGAATCTAATGTCCAAGTCTTTAATCTCATATTTGACAGAATGAAAGTATTTGGTAAATAGAACTCAGCTCAAGATCATCCCTTTCTTGCCTTACATACATTATGTACATTTGTGTATTTATCTTTTCTTTTTCACAATTTTTTGGGGTTTGGCAATATTTACAAACTTAGCTTGCTTTTTTCTTTGTGTGTACAACCATACAACACTGTGTCTATTAATCACAGATTTATTTTATGAAGGTATTTTAAATCTAAATTAATAATTTTAATTTTTTCCCCTCCTGTGTTTAAATATCTGATTTGTGGTAATTGTTTTGTAGGTGACCAATGGATACTTTTCGTGGGGAAGTGGTTTAGCTACACTGTCCAACATAAACATTAGAATCCCAACAGGTAGGATGAAAGCACACCTGAAAAATGAAATATATAATGCTAAATTGTTATTAATTCCACTTCTTGATGTTTTGAAATGCACAAAGGTACACATTTAGAATTTTTAAAGAAAAAATAGAGGTTAAAAGTGTATACAAGGTCATAAGCTGTATTGTTCATATAGTAATATAATTAGATAAATTATGTGGCTTTTATATATCTATATAGTTTATATAGTTCTATAATAGCACAAACTAAGTCAAGAGTTAAAATATACATGAAACTATGGTTGAAAAAATATCATTATTAATTTTAATAGAGAAATTGAAGAAAAAGAAAGAGGGAGAACTCCAGACTCATTCAAACCAAGGGTCCATCTAACTCAGTATGTTATTTTCAGCAACACTCATGTATTATATTCTTCCCACCATTTATCAGCTTATGGTCTTCCAGTTCACAACTATTTTCATTCAGAAGATGGAGTTTTTCTGTCAAAAAATCCTTAATTATTTTGTCTCTCAATAAATTCCTCTTTATCAAGCTGAATTCCTGAAATTCCTTACATCCTCAATGTCTTTGGCTAGGAATTCCATAGGTTTACAAAATGCTGATTTAGTTTGGAATACTTGCATAGTAACTGTGAAAAGTAGCAACTGTTATTTTCTATTATTATAATAACAACAACAATAATTTTATTTCTTTTCTTGTTGATAATGCTGTAATATTCATAACACTGTCTGCTGGCATTTCATGTTATTAAATAGTCTTATGTTTTATTTTGACCTCCTATCAAGGGCTCTGTTTAAAATAGAGTATTACTTTAGGTTTCTGTCACATGGTAATTTAGTAAAATTACCATACCCCAAGTAAAATTTTAGTAATTTTAGTAATTCAGTAAATATAGTAAAATTACCATCATACCCCAAGCCTCTATGATTTGTTTCCATGTAGCATTAAGTGTCACCAGCAGAATATCTTTGCTCCAAGGAGTTTACAGTCTGAGGCCTTGGTTCACAGACCGGGTGAGCCAGAGTTTGCCTCTTTTGGAAAGAATAAGCCCTTGGCTTCCCAGGTGGAGAGAAGTTTAACTGGAAAATTTCCAGTACCTAAAGGGGGGCTACAAGAAGCATGGAGAGAGACTCTTGACAGGGGTCTAGAGTGACATGACAAGGAGGAATGGCTTCATACTGCCAGAGAAAAGGTTTAGATGGGATATGAGGAAAGAATCTTCCCTGTGAGGGTGGTGAGGCTCTGGCACAGGTTGCCCAGAGAAGCTGTGGCTGCCCCATCCCTGGAAGTGTCCAAGGCCAGGCTGGATTGAGCTCTGAGAAACCTGGACTAGTGGAAGGCGTCCCTGCCCATGGCAGGGGGATGGAATGAGGTGATCTGTAAGGTACTTTCCAACAAAAACATTCTGTGAGTCTAAGAAATGCACTGGCCAGCACAGTTAGTGAGTTCAATTAGTTTATGGGAAGACCTGAGAAGCACCATTCTCACTGCAGGGTAGGACTGGAGGTAGGAAAGTATCTGTGTGGGGGGATAAGGAGAACTACTGCAAAGCAGAGAAGAGTAATGGGTCTTCTTTCAGTTTATTTTTTAGATTGGTCCAAATTAATTTCATTTCATTTATTAGATTGGTCCAAATTTTCATGGATCTCCAGGCTGAATAACCACTCCCCACCATATATCATTTGACCCTAAATAACTTTCATAGAGTAACACAGTCCTGTGAAACAAATGCTAATATATGTAAGAGCAAAAGTCTCATTCCTTCGGAGATTAGTGTGTTACTGCAATCCATTACTGTCTCCATAGATGAATACATGCAACATTACCCATTTATATAGTGGATGCTAAAAAGATTATTGAATCAGTTCAAGTGCTCTAGAGATAAATCTACCTGAGCCTTGTGAACTAGAGTGTAACTGTTGTTTTTTTCTCTTTCTAAAAAGTGTTTTGTTGGTTTTACTATTATTGTAGGTCAGATGACAATGATTGTGGGCCAAGTTGGTTGTGGCAAGTCTTCACTTCTCCTTGCTATATTGGGAGAGATGCAGACCCTGGAGGGAAAAGTTCACTGGAGCAAGTATGTTTATATAGCTATTAATTGCTGTATTCATTTAAGGAGGAGGCTGAGATTTGCTGTGAGACATGTAAAACTTCATGGAGTCTCAGAACTCCATGTTGAGTGATTACCATTAACCAGATCCTCTCTGGAATGCATCACCTGCAAAATCAGGAAGAATTTCTCACTGTTTTGTCACGTTCAGAGCAGGCAGAACAGGGTGTCCCAAGAAGGGAAAGAGGCTAGTCTGGTGATTAATATTGATATGCAGATAGAAAACTCTATAACTTGCAGAGTAGTTATAAGAGTAGGTATGAATTTATTCAGTGCAGAGGTGCATGGGGGATATCTCCTCTGAAAAGCGTGCACACTTTTGAGCTCTGGCTTTCTCTTTTTATCCTTTACAAACTAGGTTTACACAATATGCTTAATACATATTCATTTCCTAACCTCACCTGTATTTGCTTCATATTAAAATTAGCTCCATGCCCCTTTGCGGCTGCGTACTAGTCGTTTTTGATCAGTTCAGTGGTTGTCTGTGGGTCTTTGGGATGAGGTCATCAGTTTTCTCTTCAGCTGAACTTTTCACCTTGTCTTCTCACACATGTTCCTTTTAGTACTTCGACCACCTTTTGGACTTTGATGCCATTCTTTCCAGCTTAGGTGTCCAAAGAATCCCTTTATCTTATGGTGCCTTTGTCTTTGCATCTTGTTTGTGCATTCTAGCTCTTTATCTTATCTTGCAGCCTTGCTCCTTTCTTGTTCTTGTCAGCTCCCCTTCTCTTCTGGTCAGGAATTCCTTTATGCTTAATTCCTAATTCTTAATTTCTCTGTTTCAATATCTAATATATTGGCCTAGCAAGTGACCTGCATAATAAGCATAAGCTTATTCCTTTTATCAAATAGGCTTCAGTACTCACTATAATTGAAGTCATCATTGTCATGTTGTTCCTGTACCCACCAGTGAAAGTGTGGAGTTTCTTCAGCACAGTGGGATGTGTTGGGGGCCAGCGTAAAGGAAAGGATGTATTTCTACTCAGAGCTGCTGCTACTGCTGGTGCAAAAAAAAATGTAATTACATGTAATTACATGTGAGAAATGATTTTCTCCTTCCCTGATACCCAAGCCTCACCTATGCAACAATGTCACTCTTCACAGTAGTACACTCAAAAACCAGCCTGAGCACACCGAACACCTTTTAAGTAAAGGCTGGGCAAAAGCTCTTTCTGAAATAACTGCTCATGAGGTCAGGCCTTGGATTCAGAACCAGTGAATGAAAACTTCCCACAGAAACTAAGTGAGGCAGCAAGCACTCTTCAAGCCTAGACTGAGCAGAGATGGTGGAAGCGATCTGCTGTAACCCCAAGACTTGTTCTTTGGTTTTAAAGATCAGTTCTATTTCTTTAAAACTACCAAGCCAAACTCAATTATCTTTTTGCTGAGAAAAGAGGGAATCTTGTTAGAGAGATCAATATTTTGTTGTCCCATTCCTTGACTAGTAACATCCTTTATAATATTTTTCTTACAACAATGTTGAAAACTGGATGTTTTTTTGCTTTTCATGTGATGGTATTCATAACATTTTTTCTCTCTAGCTGCACTTCACTTTTTGCTATTCTAAACATATGATCTCACTGGAGTAGCAGGTACAGTTGAAGCCAAGGCTACACCAAATGTAGTTTAATTATATATGAATTTAGGCTTTGAAGGAGGAAGAATATGCAACTTACCACAGTTAATTTTTTTGAGACATGCAATGAAGCTTTTTATACCACAATCAGATATTGTTTTTCTCAGTAGTTTAAAAAAAATAAGAGTAAGTAGAATGTACCATGAAAGGATTCTCACAATTATTTTGAAAGAAGTATTTGAGAAAGACTGAGATTTTTCCTAGATAAAGATATGGAACCTTGGAAAGATTAGAAAATTAGAAATCTTATGAACATAATAGATACAGCTTATAAAATGTTTAATAATTATGAACTGTGAAAAAAAAAGTAAGTTTAATATTTTTCAAGAGATAGAATCATGCTCTCAGTTGATTAGCAATCTGTACATCACCACAACACCAAGACACTCAGGTTTTAGCAAACCCCTCAGATTTTTTTTTCATTGCACATTATAACTGTGATACAGCTGATGCAAACCGTTATATTTTGCTGGTAACTTCAGACTGCCTGGCAGACAGATGAATACAGAAAGATACTTCAGGTATTTAACTAAGTGGCTCCTGTATTTTCCAAAACCATAATAAAGATCCTATTTTCTCTTTTAAGTCCCTTTCCATGTGATTCTCCATGTATGACTACTAACATGGCTACTGATCCAGGGATGAAATGCAGGCTAGGTGAATTCCTTTACAAATTCAGCTGTAACAGCACAGTAATTGTAAGCATGGATAAGATTGCAGCCCCAGTTGTATTGGAACAATCCAGCCAGGCATTGCTGGGATTTAAATACCTGTTGCTGGGGGGGCTGACTGCAGTGAGAGCTGTGTGTCCTGCTGCCAGGGTTGTCACTGCTTTGGCATCTCAGGGAAATAAAGCATGGCAGTAAATCTTTCTGTAAAAGAACTTGGCAAAGGAAAATCTTATGGGCTGGGTCTCAGTTTTTCCCACTTATATTAGACATGGCCCAGAAATGTGACATCCTTAGACACAGAGTTGTGTTTTTGTTTTCCCAGTGAGTAATCAGGTTGAGAGACTTGTTAGACATTGGTGCATGGGGGTGTCTGGGTGTTGTCATTCAGACAAGCCTGTTTCAGATGAGAGTTCTTTATTATGAAGTTATTTCTTAATAATTTGTGGGAATCACACAGAGACATGTATTCCCCTTATGCATATCAAACCAAACAGTCAGTACCATCTTCTCCAACTACCAAGCCAAGATGGACTAAGTAGAAACCTTTCACTTGATACATAGTTTTTTGTACACTGAAATGGTTTCTGTGCAAACAACTTGTTGTATACTAAGTGAAAAACTCAGGAAACACAAGAGTAAATAGATCCTCAAAAATGGCCTGCTTTGTCCTCAAGAATCCAGAAGGATGTGACAAATATTAGGAAAAGTCAATGCTCCCCTCAAAAGGATTGCCAAGTACAATGCTCACCCAAAGATTACAACCACAGGAGATTACAGAAAGCACTGAAGGAATAAAAAATCATCCACATAAACATCAGTGGCCAAAACCAGCAGAACTACCAGTTCTGGTTGCAGGGACAGGCCTAAATTCCTCTGAACTCCTGTATGGAATTTGTGTAGATGCTTGGTCCTCATCTTGCCTCAATATCCTCCCTACATTAGCAGAGGAAATGGTTCATTCTGTGGTTACAGGGCTATCTCAGAGATTTTGCACACCTTCCTCCTCCTCCTTCTCCTCCTCCTCCTCCTCCTCCTCCTGATGCTCATGCTTCTTCTGCTTCTACTTTGCTTCTATTTCTGCTTCTGCTTCTTCTGCTTCTTCTTCTGCTTTCTTCTTATTTTTCTTCTTATTTTTTGTTTGCTTTTTCATCATATATATTCAAATCCTATAAAAATGGCTGATTATTTTGGTCTTTCCTACCATTTCAGGCTTGAATTTACCACACCCCATTTTGGGCAATATGTATATTTTATAGTACAGCTAAAAATCAGTATAAATAGCCACATTTCAATAAATAAATAAATAAACTAGAGGAAATAAATGCTAATCCCCTCAGGCAAATAAAATATCTTTTTTAGAAATTGCAGGAGCTTTAATTTCAGCCCACTTCCATGCCCTGCAATCACATCACTCTCTCAGATTCAGAAGGCTAATAAAGTATAAAACAAAATACTTAATCTCCTTGTTTGCGAAGGCCCCAGCACACTAAAGGTCTTTGCTGTGTTTGTTTATGAGATTATTGGTGAATGTGGGTTCTCACAGAAATCTCATTCATAATTTGGAAGAATCGAAGTCCATTTGTCAAACTAAGCTGGGAATGAAATTTTTAACCAAGGAAAAAGGGTTTAACAAACCAAGCTCCTAAAATTAGTCCTTGCCCATTGAGAAGCTCTGTTTGGTTATCATGGCAAGCATATTAAATCTTGCATGTAATTGCAAGGAGTCTTGAAGGCTTGTGCCTAGTTTTTGTTAACTTGTAGTTCATAGGGTGCTCCCAAACTTATACCTGAAAACATTTTCTCTTTCTCTACCACTGCAGTGCTCTCCTGACAAAAGTAGAGCAAATTTCTTCTTCTTGTTTGCCTTCACCTATTTTCCAGCCCCTTTTCAATCTCTCCTTAGACTCCATCTTTTGTTTTCTTGTAACTTTTTTCCATTGTAGAGAAGACTGGAAGCTTTTGCTGAATGAGAGACCAAGTTTTAGTGAGGAGCTGTCTATTTTGAGCCTCAACATGTGGCTCTCTGACACTTCTGAGATTTATTCCCCTCTGATGCAGCACCTTCTCTGGCAATTTGTGTATGAAGAAAACACAGACTGTGCATTTTAGAAGGCCTGAATTGCCCAAGTCCTCAGAGAGCTAATGTGCAGCACAGAAAACAGTGTCTCAGTTCTGATATTTTGGGAAGATGGTAATACATGAGTCTGACATTACAAGGACTCTGCTTGCTATTAGAAATTTTATGCCTTTTCTAGACTTGGATATCCTGCAAATGAGTACAGCTGCACTTACTGGTATCCAGTAGTCAGACAGTCATTTCTGTCTCAGGATTGAAGTGTTTCATCTGGAGTGTCCGTAGGCTTGAGAGGAGAGGATTTGTTTGTTCATGGCTTTTTTCTAAAGTCAGGAAAAGAATGTTTTAGCATACGTTTTCTACTCCCTTCCAATGCCTGTTTATATTTACCTGGTATAAGCTCTTTTAGGTTTTGCACTTTACAGTGATGCATCACCATGTCTCATGAATGAGCATCATTGCTGGTCCAAAACGACTTTGCATGCCATTCCAGGCTCTTGGCACTGTTAAAAAGTCAATTAACAAACAGAGGGACCTGCAAAATCATTCATGTCATTGCTGCCATTTGAATGTTCTTCAGAACATATTTTTTAAGGATATGATCCTTAAGAAGTGGAAGATGACAAGGAAAATCTATATGTTGTAGGGCTGTGCACAGCTTTATGCAGCCTTAGTGCTACAAATAGATTCAAAGTGTGTTCTGATCCTACAGTGTAGCTGCAACACTCATCTTTACTCCAGGAGAAATTTGACATTAATTACCAACTTCTGCAGGCCACTGGTAGAACTGTGTGGAGAAGCTAACTTATTGCTTGCCAGGCAGTATTAATATTTTAATATTTAATAGGTTTTATGATACAACTTTAATTTAAAATACATTTTCTAACAACATCATTTGCCTGTTTAGCCACTATGCCTTGTAGATACCAAACTGTCACATTCAGAAAAGTGTTATGGTTTTGCTTAGACCTTTTCCCTTCAAGAACATAAAAACCCAAACTTATGCTGAGTTCTTAAAGTATGTAATTAACTCCAGGTTCACTGTATGTAAAACTAGCACAAAACGTTTTTATTTATATTTACTGCTTACTAAATGTTATTTACCATAATTTACAGTGTAAATGAAATGGAACCTTCTTTTGAAGCATCCAGAAGGTATTACTTCTTTTCTAATGTATCATAAAACACTCATTAATATATTTAGAATTTCCCCAAATCCTCATCTTTGTGCTCTTAGCCCATCTCCATGTTTCTTTTCCATGCTGATAATTGTTAACTGTGGTATTAATTTATAGATTGTGCAAATCCAGTGGATCCCACATTTCTCCAGCCAGTGAACCACTACCTCTGTCTTTTCTGAAAGATCCTCAGCTCCCATCTGACATCAGTGGGAGTTCAGTATGCTCCTTGTCATGCATGACAGGATCTTTAGGTATGAGGCATCATTAGGTGTCTCCTCCCACGTGTTTTTGAGTTTTCTGCCCAGCACTTGGTTCCCTGTGGTTCCTAACCTGGGATGGGGCAGGGCACAGAGGGAGCCAGCTCCAGCTGAAGCCAAGCAGGGACTCCACCACTGGGTCCAGGTTTAAAAGAAGGACAAGTACCACTAAAAGTATGTAATAAATGACAGAGAGGTAGTGGCACACAGAGCTGTGGTTGGGAGCCACACCATGCTTTTATGCTCCATAATCTTGAGGATGTGTTTCATATGAATGCATATGAATGGCTAAAAATCCTGGAAGTTTTGGGATGTTGCTGACAGCTTCTAAACAGCAGTTTCTCCTGCCTTAGCACCATCTGTCTCAGTATGAATGCTTACTAATGAAGCTAAGCAAATGTTTTGTTGGAAGCAACACCATCAAAGAGTCTGAGAAGGAACCTCATTGTGGCCTTCTGGAACTGGCAGGGAGCGTGAAGGAAAGATGGGGAGAGATTCTTTACAAGGGCCTGGAGTAACGTGACAAGAAGCAATGATTTCACACTGACAGAGAGGAGGTTTAGATTGGATATTAGAAAAAAATTCTTTATGGTATGTGTGGTGAGGCCCTGGCACAGGTTGCCCAGAGAAGCTGTGGCTGCCCCATCCCTGGGTTAAAAGCCAGGCTGGATGGGGCTCAGAGCAACCTGTGCTAGTGGAAGGTGTCCCTGACTATGGCTGGGGTTGGAATAAGATAGTCTTTAAGGTCCCTTCCAACCCAAACCATTCCATGATTCTATGATAAGTGCTCAGAACCATGAGCTGACACCAGTAAACACCTCCTTCCTCACATCACCTTGGGCATCTCAGAAAAACATCTGAAATTACAAGAACATTTTTGCTGCTTGGCAAAACAGCCAGAAGTAAAGAACATTCATTCCCCTATTGACAAATATCATCAGGCATTTAGACACATTTAAAGTATGCACAGTGATTAAACTGCTTTCTTTTTCAATGTCATTGAGGATATAATAAACTGAAAGGAAAAATTATTCACTAAGAAAAAAGTATTTTATATGTGTGGCCACATATAATATTTATATATATATATATATAAAATATAATCTTACACTTTAGAAAGCAGCAAGCCAAGTGTGCCAACGCCATTTGAACAGTGCCTTTTCATTCTGTTTTGTTGTTAGAAAAAATAATGCCAAATAACTATTCCTGTGAGAATTTAATATTTCTTAGCATTATTTATAATTTGCCTTTGGATTTGAATTGCATTTACTAGATTGAGGTAGGTACCAGCCATTTATAGTAGAATAGAATACAACCTAGAGTGTAGATTTTGCCATCAGGGGAGAGAGTGGGTGCTGTTCTAACAAAAGCATCAAATTTAAAACTCTTCCCTTCTCTTTATTTCGCTTGTGTTTTTCTGTATTTTTCTGAGTGCACATTCATGTGCACTAAGTTTAAAAAGCTTGATTATCAAACATTTCATAGTGTGAGGGCTTTTTTCTTACTAAAACTCTGTGTCTGTCTGCAGTAGGAACAGGTACTCCGTGGCTTATGCAGCTCAGAAACCGTGGCTGCTCAATGCCACCGTGGAGGAGAACATCATCTTTGGCAGTCCCTTTAATAAGCAGAGGTAAATACACACCTCCTTGCAAAAACATCTGGCAGTTCCTTTTAAAGAGGGTTTTTTGGTATCTTCTGGAGGAAGTTTATAGTTTCTGGAAAATATCAATCAGCGCATGCTAAACTTGGGGTGGATTTAACTGATCTGTTTCACCTCAGAGGAAGGTTTCTGGTTTAAGTTAGGCTGCTCCTCTAACCAGAGCATGTGTCTAAGATGTTTGTGAGAAATTCCCCAGTGGTAGTGGCTCCCCAGCTGAAGCCATATGTGTAATTTCCAAGGTGAGATGAAACCCATCTTTGGAGACTACTTATGTATTTTTTTTGTTGTTGTTTAATGGAGCCCAAGATTGCCAGAGAACTTTAGCAACAGGGATTCTAGGCATGTTTCCACTGAGTTTGTGTGTTAATCCTGCTGTGATCAAGTTACTGGAGCAGTCACTTTCCAAAAACAGCATTTATGAAGATGGGGTGCCTCAAGGGAATGCCCTTAATTCTTCCTTTAGAAATATGGGAGAAGGAAGTGTGAAAACTGAGGTGAACAGCTACTATTGTGCCTACCCAGCACCTGTTTCTTCCATCCTTCTAAAAGGTCAGTTAACAAATGTAGAAAAAGTTACTGGACTTAAGGAAAACAAATTGCTGATGTTTCAAAGGCAATACTCTGTTTTCAGTTATTGAAAATACTGAAATTACTGAAAAATACTGTTCCTCTCAGTCTGTGCTAAGATGTATGACTCCATTCTGACTTGATAAAACCTAATCATGACCAAATTCCTTGAAATCCAGAAAATTTCAGGGACCAGATCCTTCAGCCACTACATCCATCAACTTGTTTCACTAGCTTCAAAGGGGCAAGGCTGAATTTCATCACTCAAATTGTCTGATCCCAGCTGCTCAGCAGCAGATCATCTGCTACAGACCCAGAAATCTCACAAAAAAAATTTCTAAATTTTGCAAGTGGTTTGCTATATCTGGTAAGACCAGAAGCACTGTAAGGATCCTTTGTTCTGTAATATCACTCCAAAGAAAATGAAGATGGACTTAAAGGGGGAAGAATAAAACCTCAGTGGAAAATAGCTTCAAACACTCTGGAGGTCCAACAACACAACTCCATGACAGGGAGGAATTTGCTCAAATAATTTACATAATTAAAAAGCAGTCTTGCCAATAAAGACTTCTAATAAAGATGCAATTTTTTTACAATGCTTCATTTACAATGCTCCAGGATTAATTCTCAACAATCATTTTGCCCTACTTATTTTTACAATTATCCAGCCATCACAGAGCAATAAAAAAACTTTGTAGTGACATCTACCTGGAGGTTTTTGTGTTAGCAAGAGTGAGTGACTGGGTAAACAATTGCAATGACCACGTTGTTTTTCCAGGTACAAGGCTGTTACAGATGCCTGTTCTCTGCAGCCTGATATTGACTTACTACCATTTGGTGACCAGACAGAAATTGGAGAAAGGGTAAATAATGTGAATGCTTTAATCTCTGCTTGGCCTTTGTATTAAGAAGACACTCCCTGGGGTCACGCAGTTCTAGTCTGTATTGGGCTGCCAGACTGGTAAATAATTGTAATTCACCAAGTGTTACTGTAAAACCATTTGAAATCTCTTCTGCTTCTTCAGCTATTTCTCAAATGGAGTTTCTTGACCAAAGTCTCCCATGTTTTCCTAGTTGAATTTGATGCTGGTATTGGTTAAATTTTTCAGTCTAAAAACCCTACTGTGCTCAGAGCAGCTCTTCATAATTTACACTTGAATAATTACCATGAATAATAACTTTTCTTTTAGTATTATATGAGGACTATGCTTATCAATAGAAGTAGCATTTTAATGAAGTTTTTTTATTTTTAATGGAACAATATAATTGCAAAAAACCTCACATTTTCAAAGGCCTGTCATAATGGTTATTCAAAGATGCCTATTTCTGATCCATTTGAATCATTAGGGGATTAATTTAAGTGGAGGCCAACGACAGAGAATCTGTGTTGCTCGAGCACTCTACCAGAACACCAACATTGTCTTCTTGGTAAGATTTTTTTTTTTTTTTTTTCACATGGAGCATGCAAAGTTAGTAATAAAATTGTAATTTCATATATTTAGTTTATATTTAGAAGACCTATGGGGACTTGTATTCAACTCCAAAATTAAATTCTAGAGATTGAAAATAAGCATCCATCAGAGGCAGCATCAAAACATCATGGGAGACTGATGAAGATGGGAATTCCTGCACAAATTAACACTGGAAGAGTGGAACATATTGTCTTCTCCTTGCTCTCAGTAATGATCTACTATCAGCACAGTCCCAGAAATCAGCAGGATTTCTAATAAGGAGCCAATAATGAACAGTCTGTAGGCTCAGCGCTCTTCTGCAGAGTGCTATGGAGTTGGACAGCCTTTCCCTTCTCTGTTATTACTGTCAAGGCATATTAGGAATTTCAGGAGGTTCATGAAGGGGCTGTTTGAGCCTCTTCAAAATTAAGTAGAGACTTCTTGAAGAAAAAGTGTTTGCATATTGATATCCTTATCTGAATGTTGCCTTATTTCCAGCCGCACTCACTCAAAGTGAAGACCTAGCAGATCTGTAGTTAAGTTTGGAGGAAATGAGAAGAGTTGCTAACTCTGCTTTAATTTTGCCATGCCAGTTTCACATCAAAATTTGGCCAAGTTTGGCTTTTGATCCTAGAATTTTCAAATTTGGATGGAAAATTTCAGTTCAGGTGTTCCTGCACTCTGTCAGTGAGGCCCCAGCACTACACACAGCCAGACACAAAAAAATTAAACTGAGTCCACTGCTGTGAACTTAAGAACAGTGGATTCCAGCTCACTAGTGCAGCTCTCTGATTGGGTCCTCGTCACTAGAGAGAGATGAAACACCAGTAAAGACAGACGCTTTCTATTTTAAAAATACTATTTTAGGAATAAACCTCACTTTTGTATCCTGTTTTAATATTTTTCAATTTGATGTGATTGCAGGATGACCCATTCTCTGCACTGGACATTCACTTAAGTGATCACTTAATGCAGGAAGGGATTTTGAAGTTTCTGCAAGAGGACAAGAGGACTCTTGTTCTAGTGACACATAAATTACAATATCTGCCACATGCTGACTGGGTAAGAGAAGAGTTCCCAGGGGAAAATTTGCTAAGCATGAATGTACACTTAAAGTTAACACCATAACATTTAATGAGATTATTACTTTTCTCTGCAATAGAGTCCCTTCTTAATTCCGTATGCCATGTGGCTAACTGCCACTTTAATACAGATTTTATGGTGGAAGAACTATTTTATTTTTACATCGTTTATGTAGATTTTTTTTTGTTCATTAAAAGGCCTGGAGAATTTTGATTTAATTGCAACTATATCTATCCCTTCTTTTCAATGCTTTTTACATGTGTAGGAAAGCATGACTTATATGAGTTTCAGTTTATGAGTTATGCCAGCAAACTTCAGAAGTCATTAATAAAATATTGAATAAAATGAAGACAGAAAATTGCATAATCACATTGTCACTAATGGTGAGGCATATCTTGTAGGATCCAGGTCAGTAATTATGGTATCTGTGTTGTTGAGTGCTGGGTACTTTCTTCTCTAGATCATAGCAATGAAGGATGGAATGGTGCTTAGAGAAGGGACACTAAAGGATATCCAAAACAAGGATGTTGAGCTATATGAACACTGGAAAACTCTGATGAATCGCCAAGATCAAGAGCTGGAAAAGGTAAATAGGAGCATTTGGGCAAGGATGACTTTTCTTCAAAAAGATACTTGACATTCAATTTCAAAAAAAACCCAAACCATTTCTGAAGTGAGTTTATAATTTGACCTTAAGGCAAAACCTCTTGACCTGTAAGGAGTTTTATGGTCTGGAATGGATTGTTCAGGAATTGTGTGGTATATTCATCATGGATTATTTGTAAGGACATCTTAGACAAGAAACCCTTGGAAATGTGCATAACTGATCCTTTGGTGGGGCAAGAGTTGGACCCAGAGGTACCCCTTATCCTTTTATTCTATTATTGCCATGAATATTTAGGATTCTATAAAGACTATTTTTGAAGTTTTTATTATTCCAGAAGAGAGGAAAAGAAAGAATGGCAGAGAGAGGGAAAGAAGTTAACAAAACTGAATTCTCTGAAATTTAAATTGAAAAATACTGTGTTTTTCATTCTGTGAGTTACCAAGTAAAGTCTCTTTGAGATTGCTGCAAGTACTACTACAATTGGTGAACAACTATGCTCTCAAATTAATAAATTATATGTTAAATTAATAAAACCTATTATTAATTAATAATAATAATGACAACTTAATTATTTCAGGATATGGAAGCTGACCAGACAACTCTTGAGAGAAAAACCCTTAGAAGGGCCATGTACCCCAGAGAATCTAAGTCACAACTGGAAGATGAAGATGAAGGTTTGTTTTACAATTACTTTATTTAATAACATTTTTCATTGCCTTTCCACTTTTATAGCTGTCAGTTCTTAGCAGCAAAGTGTGACTCTATTGATGACATTTGGAAATAATAGTGGAAAGTCCAATATTCTGACCTGTTTACAATATAACTTGTTTAAGGGATTCTCCATATATTTCCCTAAACATCATACAGAGGTAAGGGTATTATCAAAACAAGTTAATTTCTTTGTTAACTCAGTGCCTGGATTTATTGAGGGATGAGAGAAGTACAGCAACAGAAACAATTGTAAAGGAAAAAAAATGATGTAGCTGTCAAGAGCATGTCAACATTTCTCTTCCTCAAGTGCAGCCTGCAGGGCTGTGAGATATATATATTCTTATTATCTGGGATAAAAAATTAAATTTCATATTTATACACCTATGAAATATGTATTTTCCATAGCAGAAGTCTTCCACCATTTGTGTTTCAATAGAATGTGATCAAATATATTTTTAGTACTCTTGATTGAAGGGAAAATTGAACTTTTTCATGTAAACATGATGAAGAATCTGGGTGGAAGGGTTTGGACAGTTTTCTAAAATCTTCCAAATTGCTCTGCTAACTGTATATTAGAAGGTGATGAACATGTTGAGAAAGGCCTCATCTCTGCTCTAAATAATAAGTAGTGAAGACTTAGTTTATAAAATTATTTTCTTAACAGAACTGTGACAAGTCAAAGATTGGCAAACTATAGAATTGCTAAAAGAGCACAGGGGAAGTCTTACGAAAATATGTCTGAACTGTTTGCTGGTCTAAAATAAGAAACTGAATTTTGACTTTAAAATTTGGATTCAAAGCAGAAGGAAAAAAAATCCAACGAATCTGGTAAACTTGTTTAACAGTTTAACAGTTATTGAATCCAAGCTAACTTGATCAAATGTCTGAGTCACAGAGGAGGAAGATGAAGAAGATGAAGATGATAACATGTCAACTGTCTTGAGGCTCAGGACAAAGATGCCATGGAAAACCTGTTGGAGATATCTAACCTCTGGAGGATTTTTCTTGCTCTTTCTGATGATTTTCTCCAAGCTGTTGAAACACTCAGTTATTGTGGCCATAGATTATTGGCTTGCTACATGGACATCCATGGACAATGCAAATGAAGCCAGGAATACTGATGAGGATAAGAGCACAGAGAAGGTGAGCCAGATCTTGGAGCCTGATAGGAAAAAAAAAATTAAAGAAAACATGTTCTAAAATAATTATTTGCTTTTCATCTAGAAGCCAGATGGATAGAAATGACAGGTAGATTATTGTAAAGGATGGATGTATTCTTAATGTTAAAAGAAGAAAATTCAAATTTTATCATTCTCTTTGACCATTCAGAACTGAAACAGAAGCTTATTTGAGAGTAGAAAAATAATTGGCCTTTCAAAGTAAGGAGCTTTACATTAAACTTTTCCATCTGGATTTTATAACTGCTCTTTTAAGTCAATGACCCCACTTTCCTAAGTACTGGCTGTCAAGTAGTGTCCTGCCAGAAAAAAAAAAAAAATGGAAGTCTTCAATTGTACTGCTTACGTACAATCTGCTTATAGCTGTAAATTTGACTCATATACAATATCTCACTGGAATCCACTTAGTAGACTTTCAGAAGGCTCAAATTTACTATAACCCTGGAAAATCAGTTTAGGATTTGTTCTGGGAATTTCATGATGTTTGAACTTAATAAAGTGGAACTTTCCAACATCGCTCAAATGCCTTAATTCTTGAGAATTAAGTTTCTTGGCTAACAATCCTTTGTAATTGTCCACATAATAAGTCTTCACAGTTCTAAGAGCTATCATTTCAAGTTCATGAGGGGTAGAATAGAGAGAGGGATTTTAGAACTGCCAGAACTTCTAAATATGTGGACTTAATGAATTGCAGCTCCATCATTGCAGTTCCATCACAGTTCTTTTATTTCCCAAAGATTATATATCATTAAGTAATACAAGAGATATGATATAGTAACTGATGGGTACCAGGTACCTTGGGGACTTCCTAGCAGAAAAGAAACATCTGTATTTATTTCTAGGACTGATATATTTGTCATTCCATTAGGCTTATCATGTAGCTGTCTTCAGCATCCTCTCCGGAGCTGGGATTATCCTTTGCCTCATCACATCCTTGACTGTGGAGTGGATGGGCCTCACAGCAGCCAAGAATCTACACCACCATCTCCTCAACAAGATCATCCTTGGACCAATCAGGTATGGCAAAAATGATGTCCCTAAAAAGCTACATGGTCAAAACCTGTCTTCTTTGTAACAGCAAGGGTACTCCTAGGAAAAGCTCTTGGTTTTGACCTGTTTCCTTCAAGGCCTCAAAAAAGGAAAATAATTACTGAGATAATGATAGGGGGAAAAAATTCCATGAGAAAACATGTGAAATTTTGCCCCTGTTTTTTATCTGGCTGAAATGTTATAGAAAGCTGGCACCCCTTCATGGCTGGGGGGGTCAAGGACATCTCTGAGGGCAGTTCAGGCTACAGGTCACCCAGCTCCAGCTCTGAGCAATGGCCATGGTGTCAAACCATGTGGACACCAAGACTTCTGTGCACAATACCCAGGGTCTCACAGGCAGCAGGATGGCCAAAAGGATGCCTGAATAACAAATAAATTTGTCACAGTGCTTTCATGAAATATCTGGGGTTGGTGCCTATTAGAAGGAGGCTGAGCAGCAGCCAGGAACAGGCTGTGATCTTTGGAAGGGATCTTAAATCTTGATGGAGCAAGAAGGAAAGTTCAGGACACAAGCCAGCAGGTTTTTGGAAGAGAAGTTTTTTTCAGGGGAAAGTGCCAAAAGAAGCATTTAGACAGGATGCAGATAAGATAATCTGGTATGTTATTCGTATTTATTTCTTGGTTTTAGACAATAGCTGTACAAAGCTCTGTGTTCTGTCTGACTGGATTTTTAATCCAAAACTGGAATTCCTCTACAGGTTACTTTTTGGTTTTAATTTGTCCAACAGGTTCTTTGACATGACTCCACTGGGGCTAATTCTAAATCGCTTCTCTGCTGATACAAATATCATTGATCAGGTAGATGTATCAATATATTCTGTTTTATTGTCCTGGATTTGCAAATTTTCATGCAGATCATGAAAAAGATGATGTATTAAAATATTCAGTAGAGAAAGGCATAGCAAAACCAGGCTCTGGGAATGATAATAGGGACACTCAAAGTAAAAAGTACACACATTTGTAGTAATGAGGGCAGGTAACCATTAAAATAAACATAGCAGGAAGTAGTGGCTCTTAATTTTTGTCATATGAAGACTGGTTGATTCTGTTTAAAGATCTGGATTAAGAAAACATCAGATTTGGGGCTCAAAACAGGAAACACAGTAGAATATAACAACTTTGAATATGTGGGAGTAGGTGTGACATATGCATGTTCCACTGTGACTGGCAGCACATTTGGATTTAGAGCATTCAGGGGGAGGAAAGACGTTCACTATGGCTGTGCATTAAAATTTTTGGATGAACAATAATCCTGAAGGTAAGGTTGATAGGAACATGGAATAAATAATTATGAGACTGAGACAGAGCATTCTACTTCTCTAAATATCTGGCAAATCAAGAACAATTTTCTTGTCCTTGCCTGATATATAAATGAGGTGGAAATGGTTCCTATTTCCCCATGATCTTTGAAACTCTGACCTTTAGAAAAAAAAACCCTACCAACTAATTTTTTAACCCCTGTACATTTGGCTATGACATGCACAGAAACAGAAAGACTCCTGATATTAAGAGAATATCAATGAGTACATGGTGATATTTTTCCACTTTTCTTATAGAAAAAGGTTTATAGTGGTGCTACTAGGGATTTTTTCCTTATGGATGTTTTTAATTTCCTTCTAGCACATCCCTCCCACACTGGAGTCTCTGACCAGATCCACCTTGCTCTGCCTGTCAGCCATTGGGATGATCTCCTATGCCACTCCATGGTTCCTTGTGGCCCTTGTGCCCCTGGGCATAGCATTTTATTTTATCCAGAAATACTTCAGGGTTGCTTCCAAGTATGTATTAAAGAGCTATCCTGAAAATTACCTCCATGAAATATTTTACACAAGAACTGTGGTGGAATGTGAGGTTGTAGGAGCCAGAAAAGGGGAAAATGGGCATGGCATCCTGCTTCTGATCCTGAGGCATGCGTTTGAGACATGCACTGGGGAATATTTCCAACTGACCTGGCTATAAATGGGGTATATGGGGAAGTAACACCAACTGAGTAGATTTTTTGGTTCTAGAGTCAGATGAACATGAAGTTTGTTAATCAGCTGAGCTTGCATATGGTTTAAACTCTCTCTTTGACATTTGAGGGTTAGTAGAGAACAGAAAATAGCTCCCTGGACTAACATTACTCACAACTTTTCCTTCATATTGGGGAAAAAAGCCCCATGTTCAAGTCATTTTCACTGCAGAGCATTCAGGTTGGTTTGGCTGAGTGTAAAGAGTACAATTTTTTCAGCAGAAGGGGTCATGCTTCCAGTGCTAAATTCGTTCTATAATTTTGTTAAACATCTTTAGTAAGCCATTTGAAATTTTTTCTTAAATTCAATCCATTAGTCTTTTGTTATCAGCCAAAACCTTTCAAGAAGATTTATTTATCAGAAAATCTGTAATCAGAATTCACAAACCAGAAATGTTTAAATATGAAATAATTTGCTTAACTTCTCTGAGATTTTTCAGAAACCTTGTTCTTGCCCCACCAAACCTCTAAACTGAAGGTGTATGTGCCTGTACACCAGATCTTAAGGTGGCTGACAAATCAGGAGACCTGGTTTTTACTCTCAAATTATTCTGTTAAATTAAACTCTTTTAAATCTCTTGAGATGTGATTTGTGTTCTTTCAATGGACAGTAGAAATTAGAACATCCAATTTATTTCCCTAAAAATTAGTCTTGGGAAATGTAGGATGAAGGAATAGCTTCAGCCAGTATTTGTAACTCACTTGTATGCAGTCCTTTGCAGGCATATAAGCCTCACTAATATTTAGAAATGCAAATATTTGCAGAATTTCTTGCAGCACTTTTTGTTGTATTTTCCATTACATTTTTCAAAAACTTCTGTGTATTTTTCATCATAAATTTGAAAGACATTTATCATCAAAAGTTCAGCAGCAAATTCTGTTCTGCGCACTGCAACATTCAGCAACATCAAGCAGTTGTTTCTCCTGGCCTATTTAATCCATTGTGCAAAATTAGCAGGATTTTGATAACAAGTTTTAATCTCTAATGATCTGGACTTTCTTCTGTTTGTACAACTGGCTGCTATGCCAATGGCAGAGTGTTACAGAAAGATGTAATTTTTTTTCTGTGGTTTGGAAATTGTTGCTTTTTTAAAAGGAAAGACTGGAACTTTTTGGACTTAAAAAATGTTGCTCCATGCAGATTTTGGAAGTGCCATTGCTGAGTAATTAGGGAAATTTATCACTCATGTTATTTCTCTGTCAGTGCTGTCTCTGCTGCAACCAATGTTAACAGCACAAAAAGAAGATCTGCTATCATCAGAAATATTTTACTTTCAGCATGTTGTGGTACTTCAAGATATGGAAAATAAGGCCAGGTTAATGTGGAAATACTTTTTTTGTTAGGCCAGCTCTTATCATAAAAGATATTAACTTCCTGATACATAGACCTTATTATATACCTGACCTAAGAGTCACAAATCACATGCTCTAAAGTTTAAAATCAATGGTTTTGAATTTAAGTTAATTTTGTTAATATATCAAAATCTATCATATATAATAAAAGATAATTAGGATCTATTCTACTTAATAGAATTAATAGAATGTAATAATAGAATGTAATAATAGAATGTAATTAGAATAAAAGCAGGGGAGATGATCCAAAGGCTTCTGTGGCAAAAAAGGAATGTTATATTCCCATGCTAGTGTACTACAGAAATTTTGTGTGATCCTGAAAAGAACATGTGCAATACATAAAATGTCTGTTCTTGTCTGCTGTGCAGCAAAATTTCTGCAGACAGAAATGTTTACATGGTAGTGGACATCTGTTGTGTTTTGTACACCCAGGGACCTCCAGGAACTTGATGACAGCACCCAGCTCCCTCTGCTGTGTCACTTCTCTGAAACAGCTGAAGGCCTTACCACCATCAGAGCATTCGGGTAAATTTTGTAAAACAAATTATTAGAGAGAGGCTTGGGGGTCAGGCTGGCCTGTTCAGCTTCCTTGGAGCACGTTTAAGGGCAAACTGTTGAATTTTAAGAACATTGTTAAGATATTTCAAGTAAAGAGAATAGATATTTTTTTATTTTTCCTGTTGCTTTCCCATGCCTCTTAAACATTTTGCATATTTTTATTAACGCATGTATTGGTGTTCCATTGAATTAAAGATTATTGCATTTTTAGGATATGACATTTAAACTTCTAATGAGTCTATTTTAATCATGCCTCTAACCTGGACAGCAGGGAGCTCTGTTTTGCCAAGCAGGCAAAGGCATAGATCCTTCAAACCCCCTGCTATATACAAGTGTTCCTGAATCAGTTTTATGTTTAACCCACTTCCCAAGCACGGAGACATCATTATGACACTCTCCAACTGAAAGGCAGTGTGCAACTTGACTTTCCAAGAAAACTGCAGGAGAACGGAACTTGATCTTAATATTGTAAAACCTCCCTTTGTTAATCAAAACTGAAAAATAAATTCTATAAGAACCAGAGAGTTTTGCCAGCCTTCCATGCATATATTTTCTCTCTACTACAGGAAATATTGGCAGACTCTCCTATGTTCACTCCATTATGTTTATGACTCTGTCAAAATGCCAGCTTGAGGTTTTTTCCCAGTAAGCGCACCTTGCACCCATTCTGCACTACATAGAATTCCAAACCAGAGCAGATCCCACTGCAATGCCATTTCCACACCTATTTGATCAGCTTAAGGCTGTTTTCTCATTTCAAGCTAAGCTTTTAGCACCTCATCAGCTATTAGCACAGAATGTTGCAGTAACGCCTGTGGAAGAACAAGCAAAAACATTGTGTTGAAGAGCCAGTGGTCAACAGGAAATGCTTTAGCTAGGTTTATCAACAGAATGATGTATTGAAACAAGAAGTTTTACAGGCTGATGTCTGCTGAGTACTTCTCCAGAGGTTCAGTGTAACCTTTCATCACTGAGGAAGGTTATGAACCTGAGGTTATCTTCTCAGGAGGATGAAGGAACTTAGCACTTTCTGAGTGGTTCAACTCTTTTTTTACCTCACAAAAAGGCAATGGGTTTGGATGGCAGAGAGCAAAAGGCAACCTGAGGGTGCCACAACAATTGAGTTTTTCAGGATTTCTGGTGCTAATCAAAGCCATTTCATTTCATTGCTTGTGCTCCACTGCCCACCAAACCTGAAGTCTCCTGCATTTATTGTCTGCAAGCTCGTATTTACTGATGGTCCTGTTAGTCATTCTCTGCAGTTTGGGTTCAGTATGTTCCAGGATAAAATCGAGCAGCTCCTCACACAAAACAGTACAGTTGAATAAGAGAGCAATCTCAGTGACCTCAGACGTCATCTGACAGGATATAAGTATGAAAGTGTCCAGAAGATGAGCTGAACATGGATGAAAACACAGACTGAGTATGTCAGATTTTCCATTAGGAGAGCAGGAGTTTTGCTGCCAGGAAAGCAGATGAGCAGAGTAGTCAGTGCATCCTTATTCCTCCCCACATCATTACTGTTACAAGTTCTTCTGGAGAGATTGCTTGTCATGTTTACAAGCTGTGCAGAGGGAAATAAAATATCAGCAGGAAATAGCAGGTAAAAAAAGAAGTTTCTGGAAGAAGAGGTGTTAAAGGTGCTTCACAGCAGGGCCCTGAGACTTTGAAATGGAATATAAAACAGACACTGAGCTGCTGACTAAAGTTCAGCTGGTTTAATCAAGTGAGGGTATTCACCAGACCATAGAATATGGAACAACAAAATGGTTTCCATATGACTGTGCAAGATGCCATGAATTCAATACACTTGCACCAATAGACATGTTCCCCTCCCAAAGTGTACCTTGGCTTTTCAGCACTCTGGCATCCTTGCACTGGTTTTTGAATGTGATGGGAATTGTGTGGGGGAGAGAGGAACAAGTGGCAGTGGAGGTAACACCACTCATTTTTCTAATTTAGAAGTATCTATAGCACTCCGTGACTGTAGTTTCCCAGTTGTTTAGGCAAAGTCTGACTGGTTGAGAAAACAGCTTAGGTGAGTAGATGAAAGATTTGATTTACAGATCACTCTACTTCTGTATTAGTTGAAACCTTAGGGATGTTACCCCTGCTGAAGAGCCCTGAAGCTGGCCAGGTAACTTTTGAAATCAGATTTAAGCTGACAGGTGAGCCCTCTGCCCTTGCTAGTAGCCTTTGAGGAGGAGCTGAGAGTACACAACAGCTCTCACCTGTGGGAGGAGTGGACTACAATCCACAGCTATAAAAAGTGGATCAGCTCTTGGGAACAACATCTGTCCCAGCACCCTGGCATTGCAATCTGTTTGAGGGGACAGTCTCTGGTCCAAACCCTAGTCCAACAGAATTGCTTGTCACACAAATCCCTCTCCCCTCCACTTGTTGCTCCGGCTGTGGGGAGCTGTGGCACCAGATATATGTTCTTAGGGAAGAGCTTTTAACCCAAACTGCAGCAAAAACAGAGGGGCAAAAAGTTTTGGGCTGGGGGGAGGGAAGGCAGAACAGAGTTAATGCTTCACCCTTTTGTGTGTGTGAGTGTTATGTGTCGTAATGTAAGAACTTTGGTCTTGCCAGGCACGAAGCCAGATTTAAACAACGTATGCTGGAACTGACGGACACGAACAACATTGCCTACTTATTTCTGTCAGCTGCCAACAGATGGCTGGAGGTCAGGACGGTACGTTCAGTTTTGTCCCAGCCATGGTTTTGAAACCTTGGAAGCAAACAGAGACTTTGCCTGATGCAGAGAACATAATAATGAGTATTAATCTCGCGAGGAGATTATACACACAGTTCCTTAAAATAGATCAGGATTGTTATGTTAAACCCAGAGGGTTTTTTCAGCTTTCTTGGCCAGGAGTAAGAAAATACAAGTCTGCCTCATCTTCTGCTGCTGTGCTGTCTAGAGTCTGAAGGCAGTGCAAGAACAAACATTTACAAAACTTCAAACAAGACTTTCTCTACTACTGTGCAGCATCCACAGACCTGTGACAGCAGGAACTGCTTTCAAGGCAGAATGTGGCTTTTCAGTGGCTTTGTGAACTGTATCATCCTTCTGGCAGGACTGTTTTAGGCACATTTATCTCCCAGGTGTTGAAATACCTTTCCAGCAGCAGGTTTCATCCCACATCTGTAAGCTAAACCTTTACAGGGCCATACTGTTTGGGATTTTATTGTTTGATATAATGCAAGATAGCAGAACTAGACTCCAGAAAGAAAATGACAGCAGGCCCAGAAAGAAAATGACAACAGGGCACAGTGCAGTCACTGACAGTGATGTAGGCTCCTGGGTTTTGTAGGGGTTCTCTATGAGGGACTTTCCTGATGTGCGAGTCAAGAAAAGGCAAGCAAAGTAACTGTGATACCCATATTCATCTGAAACAGAAAGAGCAGTGAATAAACAGAGCAGTGGCCCGATTCTGCTGGGCATAAATAGCAACAGGCATGATTAATCCTCACATCAAAGGCTGTATAGTCACCTTCTTTTCCTGCTGGAGCAACAAAGTTATTCACCATATTTTTATGATGTGCGCAAAGCTTTCAGCTTCTTACAGCATCCAAGATCAGCTGAAATTGCTTCCAAATCTAGGACAGATAAATAACAGAGCAACAGCCAATCCTGGAATAAGCCTGTTAGTGTCTCACAGTCTTACACTTGCTTACATGCCGAATGAATTTGGTCCATGAATACACCTCACTTCCTTTGTGCATTAGAAGTAATGTGGTCTTGCCAAGGAATAGTTCATTGACATAGCCCTGCCTAAGGGTGGTACAGTGGTACTAAGATCACCAAAAAGTTTGTGGGATTTAATAGCAGCTGTTAAGTCCTAGCTGATGATGAAGACTGAAGACCATTATGCTCCATAGGTGTGAGTCACAGAGTCCCAGAATCACAGAATTATTTGGGACCTTAAAGCCCATCTGGTTCCAACCCCTGCCATGGGCAGAGACACCTCCCACTAGCCCTGGTTGCTCAGAGCCCCATCCAGCATGGCCTTCCAGAACTGAGGCAGCCACAGCTTCTCTGGGCAACCTGTGCCAGGGCCTCACCACCCTCACAGGGAACAACTTCTTCCTGATAGCCTATCTAAACCTGCCCTGTGACAGTTTGAATCCATTCCCCTCTAAAATTCGAGTCTGTATTCTGCTCATCAACACATTTTTTAGACAGATGAACTGGGCAGCCCTCATTTCAAATATCAAAAGAAAAGATTCCTGACAGGAATATTGGACAGGAGGAGAAAAATGAATGGAAAATGTAATCCAAAGTAAATATAATGCAGGCAGCAGTGGGAGAATGGGAATACCAACTATATCCCATTAATCAGCACCTTGACTCCATGAGATGACATGTGGCATATACTTCAAACCTGAGATAAACATCAAGAAAATGGGTTCCAGCTCCTGTAAAGCTTCTGCCAATAAAACATGTGCATGATCTGTATAAATTCTACCAAAAGCCTTCTGGGACTTCATGAAGTCAATGATACTTCCTTTTTTGAGAGAGCAAACCCATATTTGAGAAGACCTGAAGGAGAGTGGAGAGAGAGGAATTGATTTGTTTTAGTGGTGGGCATTAGGGGTGTCACTGTTATATCCCTTGCATGATTTTTTTTTTTTTTTTAATATACTCAGTAGATTTTTTGATCCCTGCTCTTTTTTGGGGTGGCCACCATGGGATACCCTAGCCCAAATGAATTTACAGCAATTACTGGCCTTTTTCACTAATGTTCAGCAAGTTGCTTTGTGTATTTCAGGTTGGGCATCACAACCATGACCTCTTCCAGGGAAAAAAATCAAACCAAAATTAAGGGCTAGGTGTCATATAAATAATTCTTTGTAAAGTGGTACTGCTCCACAGGTAAAGAAATGCTCTGGTTGTTGCATTTTTTCCTTTTTTGTTCCCCTGTCTCTCATTCCAGGATTACCTGGGTGCTTGTATTGTCCTGACTGCTGCTGTCACTTCCATCACTGAAGGGCCACACTCGGGGTTTGTGGGGCTGGGTCTCCTCTATGCTCTGACGGTACGTGCCAAGGCCAAGTGTAAGAACTTCCAGACCAACACGTAATTTTATAATATTTTTATGTGTACATGGTCATCTCCCAGCTTTCTTAATCTTGAAAAAAAGAATCCTCCAAATAATGGACTTGAGCCAAAGCTGAGAGAGTTCAGGGCAACTTGGACTTGCTTCAGGTTTTATGAGCCAATTTTAAAAAAACACAACCATTCCCAGGCCCAGTATGCTCCCAAGAGGAGCAGGAAAATTAAAAATGCATAAGAGGACCTGCTGTGCACTCTGTTTTGTACAACACAATGCTGCTTTCACTTCTACATGGCAAAACCTTCCAGGAAATACAGATTGTCATCATCTGGGTATTCTTTAACCAAAGACCAAATAAAATAATTGCTGAAGAAACAGAATTATTAGCTTTGCCCTTGGAGGGAAATTACTGAGATGTCCGATATTGTCCATGAAATTATGAAGAGATTTGGGGATTGGAACCTTTGTGGGCATGGTTCATCATGCCAGGTAGCAGTAGAAATGCAGAGGAGATGGACTTAGGGATGACAAGGTTGTGATAGTCTAGTAGCTGGTTCATTTTGCTACTGTCATTAGCAGTGAGGAGAAGGAACAGTATTTTAGTGTACCTGGCTGCAAGAGAGGCTAAGTGTGCATCAAAGAGCACAGAGTGAATGACAATCACCACAGAGAGTAGAAGTATTCATGAATTAATCATGAGAGTGGGGATGAAATATCACTGAATGAACCACGAGAGTGGGGACAAAGGCAGGATGATGATAGAGGCAGAAAGAACTTAAGAAACCACGGCTGGCATGGCAAAACAATTTCTGCTTTGAAGCACTGGTAAGAGGAAGGGATAAAGATGTGGGTCTAACCATGAGATCTGTCTTTGCACATAAATGCTGGGGAGCCTGTGACTACCGTAGAAAGTCCTCAGCAGTTGCCTTAGGGTGACCTTAGATTCTCTCTGTGCTGCTGTTGCAACAGTGTGGTAATCTGTCAACAACTGAGAATCAGTCCCAGGGTTTCAGCTTCACTCTGAAGACATTCCTGGTAATGCTGCTTCATTAGCAGAGATCTGGAAGCTCCAGGATATCTGCATCATCCTTGGCTTCTTTGTTTTTAGCCTGTGTTTGCAAACAGTTCATTCATGTGAAATGGGCACATGCTAAAGTCTGGCACAACAGGTGAAGAGCTGTAGGCACCAAGTGATCACCTGTCTCTCTCCTACCCCACAATAACTCTGAAGAACTTTTGAAGGCAGCTGGATCATTATCTGTGTCCCCTGACATTGGTTTTCCTTTAGTAATTACTCTTTGAAGCTGAGAGAGGACAGGTATTTGGACCTGGATGAGAGCACATTGTTTTCACCAAGGTGTTTACAGTGGATATCCTGAGCTTATTCTCTGCTCTTCTATAAACACTGCCAACTCCTTTTCACAACTGTGATGAAGCCTGAGATAGTGGGCAGAGCTTTTTGGGTGCCAGACTGTGTTATCAAATCTGCCAGATGTAGGATAGCATTCAGCCACTGCAAGCAGGAGTTCTGCAATGTTTTGCTTATCTGCAAACTTTCCCATTTCTCTAACTCCCTAACTCAAAAGGTGGACCCCAAATAAGCAGGTTTCTGAACATAAAGAAGAGAGTACCCTGTTAAGAACTCAATCTTTAGGACAAAGCAAGCAACTAAGTCCTCTAAATTAACAACAATTTTTGCTGAATCTCAGTGGAAATTATTTACTGTTTGCTTATTGCATCAATATTAGGTTAGTGGTAAAGAAGTGAGACTGGGTGATTTATTCTTAATAAAGTCCTTATTTGGCACTCACCAAAAAAGATGGCAAAGTCATTCTCTGAATACATTTATGCAAAGGGTGTTTTTATTTTTAAGTTTCTAATATTTCATTCTGGTACATAATATATCTCAAGTATTAAAGGTCCTTGGCAATCAACTCTTCCTAATAAGATCAGTTCTTCTTTTTTACAGAAGAACCTAAGCACAGACTTAGGAAACAGGTTTACAATTTTCAGCCTTAAATAGTAAGTCCTGCCTAGAAAAGAGTTTGTGTAAGCAACTGAGTATTGTTAGAGAACTAATAATCACTGATTATCTACTAAAAGTAATACCTTTACTATAGAGTAAAGGATTTTACTAAAAATCCTTTTCATTGCAAATGAGAATAAAAACCTGGAAGAAAATATTGCTGGACTGATAACACATTTTTTCCCTCATATATTTCTAAACTAAAAACTTCTTATATTTTTCACAGAGATAAATGGATTATCTAAATATGCAGAAATGAAATTATCATAAAATCTTTTCAATATATTTGCAGTGAACTTTCTTAATATCTAGTTGCAGTCTTTGAAATATTAGAATATACATAATAGAAAATATTTCCATACAGCACTTTCAATTTTGGTTATTTTCTGTGCTTGTGTGCTTAAAGAAGACACCTTTCAGCTCTGATTATTAGATGCTGAAAACAAGAGATTCCCTCAATCAGTCAGAGTTTAGGTACATTTCCATACTTCTCCTTCAAAAAACAAGGATAAGAATACCAAGCTCCAAATTGGTGTCTTAGGGCTAATTGTGTTGGAGTATGACTGGCTTCTTATGGATTTGATGCTGTTGCACTGAGTCTTGAACTGCTGTAATGTTAAAAAGACTCACTATGTTGAGTCAGGCCAAAGATTTTCAAAAATGTACTAAACTTTATTTCCAAGTGGGCAGATGGATAGAAAGAAGGCTGAACCCTGTGCTTGTTTTCATTTTGTGATGCAGATAACCAACTACCTGAACTGGGTAGTGAGGAATCTGGCTGATCTGGAAGTGCAGATGGGTGCAGTGAAAAAAGTACACAGCTTCCTGAACATGGAGTCAGAGAACTATGAAGGCTACCTGGGTATTGCTCGTATTCTTTTTGGGGCTTTACATGGTAATGTGAAAGAATGGTAGACTTGGTCATGCAATATGTGCACACCTCTCTGGCCAAAATCTGTTCTCACTGAGCTATAGTAACTGCCACTGGTGTGAGTGACAAGGATAGCTAGAATAAGCTATGAAAATATGTTACTCATGATAGCCAACATGAAAAAAATCCAATCGAATTCCAGGGAGACAGAGCAGGACCCTGTAATACAATCAGAAAATACCACAGTTATAGATGAAATGAGCAAAATATCCATGTAAGTTATTTAGGAAACAAAAATAAGGATAAAAATTAGAAATGTCATATGCTTCAAAATCTCTGATCTTTGTAGCAGATGGGGACTACAGGATAGGGCCATGTTGGCTATCAGACCTCAGCAACTCTTCTCTGAGCTGCACATCAGAATTTGTGCTCCACACACACTTTGAATGGGCTTTGATTTCTATGTAGAAGTGGTTGAAGTGCAAGAAAAGACTCATAGGTCAAGAAGCTTCCCTAGAAAGCCAAGCTTCTTAGTCCAGAGACAAAACCTGCTGTGTATTTGCAAATTAGGATGAAACACTAGCTGTGATAATGTCAACAGCTCACATTGTGTGGCAGTAACAACTTCCTTCCTCAAGCTGCCCTTCCTGTGCCTGTCACTGACCCAAGGCCATGCTAAAACTGCCCTGACACCACGTTCTCTGCTCATTTGGCTTCTCCCTGTTGCAGTGCCAAGAGATGCTTTAGTATCTGCCCTCTCTCCCTGTGTGTGGAAATCTGGAAGCCAAGTGCCTGCCAGACATCTCCCAGCTCAGTCTCCCCTTGGCAGGGAACTGGGGCTCCATTTCTCCATTGGCTTAAAGGATGGTGGCCAGGCAGGAGACAGGGGGAAAAGGGAGTGTTGTAAAGGGTGACCCTCTGGCAGCACTTACTTCAGTTTGTTTTTCTGTAACTTTCAGATCCCTCTCAAGTCCCCAAAGACTGGCCCCAGGAGGGGGAAATCAAGATTGAAAATTTGTGTGTTCGCTATGAAAACAACCTGAAGCCTGTTCTGAAGCATGTGAAGGCCTATATCAAACCAGGACAAAAGGTACCATATCAAGCAATTGCACATCATCCTCATTCTTGTGCAGATCCTTCATTACTGAGCTTTTCTTTATAAAGTGGCAGAAGAACAAGATCAACAGCTTGCATTGGCAGATATATATATTTACAGTCCTCTCTGAGGTCCCTGGGCACTGACCAAGAACTTGCAATGATAAAAGCTTATTCTTGGCTGGGATCAATTTTTCTTCTGAGTATCCCATGCCTTTCCAAGTCCATTTTCCTTGCATACAAGTAAACATAAATGAGAGATAAATTAGAGGGTAAAAACACCAGAGTATCTCACATTTCAGCACAGAGTGTCAATGGCATCCAGGTCAAAATGCTGAAATGCTCTGGGGACAAGTCCTTGTGATGAGAGGCAGAAAAAGGGAGTGTGCTTGCTGTGCTGTTTTGTGTTTTCCCTAGTGTGCCACCTGCCATTGGAAAGGATCTTTCTGTTCACCAGTAGCACAATTCAATGCAGCTTTCCCAAAAGAACTTCAGGTGTAAGTAAGGAAAAAGGAGTATGTAAGTGACTAATCTATGAGTAAGTGACATTCTCCATTTTTTTGCAGGTTGGGATCTGTGGTCGTACTGGCAGCGGCAAGTCCTCCCTGTCCTTGGCGTTCTTCAGAATGGTGGACATTTTTGATGGTCAGTTTTCTCTGGAATATGCTGTCACTCCTCACTTGCTCCCCACTTATTTCCTCAGAAGAAGCAAGGAGACTTTTTGATAGTTTATAACCTGGTTCTCTAGCTCAGAAGATACTTGATTAGAAGTGTTATGCCTGATCCTTCAAAGTACAAAGTGCCCTATTGTGAATAGCACTTGGTTCTTTCAGGAAATGTTGTGCACAGAATGTATTTCCAATTTTAAAAAACCAACATTTTCCATATGGTCTGACAAAACAATATGCACCGTTTGAGACAGGATAAAAAAATATGTAACTCTCTGGAGTGTCTAAATGTTTCCCTAAGGAATAACTGCATTAACTTATTACAGCTGTCAAAATATTAGCAGAGCAGAGAAGAAACTAGTCCATTCCCTTGATTTTTTAAAATTTTATTGTGCTTCCCCACAACTGCAGCAGAATCTGACTCAAGGGTTGGAAAAATGTTGCTATATTATCACTCCTGCAGCATTTAACTGTCTCAGCTAATTGGCATGAACTGCTTTTCAGCATTTATAATACAGATACATGTATGCTGTTGTTGTAATGTAGAAAACCACTGGAAAGTAATCTTTTTGTTTCAAAAACTTCCATGTTTCTAATTTAGCCATTGTGCATGGAATGTTTTCCAGGGAAAGCTCAGTAAGATGTGGGAAGATAAATGAACCTGATGAAACTAATATTTGCATTTGTTGTGGTTCTGTGCATATATGTGTTTATGGTCACAGGCTTCTGACTCGTGACCAGGATTCCTGGATTTATAAATATTGCAAAGAAATAATAACCATTCTTATGGCCAGCTTGAAATTTCCTTCTACTTAAGTTTTCTTTCTGTATATTTTTTTTGTCTGCTTCTTCTGTATCCCTGATTTTTCCCAATGGGAATGTCTAAGCCTTTTCTAATCAAACTCTGTTTATCCTTTGTGAACATCCCTCTCCCAGCTGGAACCATATTCGGTTTCCATGATGGTGCATTTCTGGGTGGGGTCCTGACTCTAATAAAAGTTACATAATAAGATTTCAAGTAACTTTACTAGAGCCAAAATTTCATTCATGTTGTTCCTTAAGTGTTCATTATCTCCTTAAATTTGTATCTCTCCCATTTTATCTCCCTACTTTTGCTTTGATCTGTAATGTTTCCCTTCTCTTGCCCTCTGTTCAAGCAACCTCTCATTTCTCTTGTGTTTTGCTTGACCATCCCTCAATCTGTTCCCAGTTTCCCAACTCCTCTCAAGTTTACTTTTTCCCTTAGGTCCTCTCATCTCCTCTTTTCTTTTCCTTGAGCGCCCTGGCTTCTCTCAAATATGCATCTCCCTATTCCCCAGGCATGCCATATTAATTTTTCCCTCCTTATTCTACCTCATCTTCTGCTAACCCACATTTGTGAAGAAAAGGAATTGCTTAAGTTTATGCAACCACCAATGTCTCAAGAAGAAGTCCTATAACCTGATTTGGATTTCTTTAAGTGTGAAAATAATTGGTTTTGCACCTTACAGATAAAATCTTGATTCCTCTGGCCATGTAATAAAAGCATACTTTTTTATAAAAGCATAAAAACTGCAATAATAGAAGTAGTCCAGCTAGGAGGCTGATGAAATCTTCCACTGGAACAGGGACACAGAGAGCAACCTACAAAATGCAGTATCGTGACAATGGAAATGACAGAAGGGACACACATACAAAGCTCTGAATATCCATGTACCTGCCAGTTCATGGTTAAGTTATCACTGTTGGGAGAGAGAACTGATGAAATTAATCATAGGTACATCCCAGGGAGGAGTGCAGCTGCCTAGTGAAGCAATCCACATGAAAACTGGAAAAGTGCCTGATGGAAATAGCCTTTACCATATCCTCACTGGCCCATCCCTTCCCTGTAATCTCAAATCCCCTGTATCCTGTAATTTGCATAAATTATGCAAAAGAAATTGTTCCCCTTCTCGAAGGAAATATCTTCAGCAGCTATAGAATTCAAGGGGAACAAAGAAAGGCACAGCAACATAAGTTGCTCTTGTTGTTCTGTTTGGCTGTAACTCATAATAAACTGTCCTTCTGATGCTATCATTAATCATATAGAAGGGAAGACATGTAATTTCCTTTAAGGGAGGGTGAGGGGAAGAAAAAGGAAAAGAGCAAGGTGACAGTGTCACTGATAAGCTGGGTTGTGTTCTTAGATACATTTACCTTCTCCATGTGTCTGGCAGTGCTGAGAGCTCACAGAGACAGTGTGCCATCATCTAGAGACTAGCCCAGAGGGGCTGTTCTACCTTTCCACCTGCTACCTGTGGATCACATGTTTTGTGCAATTCCCTCACATGTTCTGTGTGTTGTTTGACACAGGGAGGATAGTAATTGATGGGATAGACATCAGCAAATTGCCTCTGCACACACTCCGGTCCCGGCTCTCCATTATTCTCCAGGACCCAATCCTGTTCAGTGGCTCCATCCGGTAGGTGAATGTCATCAGGGGGTGGCAGGCAGCATTGCACAGCCTGCCTGTCATGGGAGCTGTGGGACAGGAGAGGATGGAAAAGGCAAGCAACCTTCCTAGCTCAGTCCAATACATCTGCTCAGCCTGCCAAGTGACACACAATGGCAAGGTGTTAAATTTTCAGAAAACCTGAAAGTAATTGCAGTAACAAGACTCCTGTTATGGTTTTCTTTTCAGCTTTAATTTGGATCCTGAATGCAAATGCACTGATGACAGACTCTGGGAAGCTCTGGAGATTGCTCAGTTGAAGAACATGGTCAAGTCATTGCCAGGAGGCCTTGGTATGTCTAAACCAATCTCTGGGGTCATGGGCCAATACTGGAATCATGCATGCACACAAATAAACAGATCCATCGCATCTGACACTCTGGATCATCATGTAGGAGTGACAGGCACATAATGAAGATTCTCTCTTCATACTAGAGAGAATATTCTTATTAAAAAGCTGAAGAATAGTCTGGTTTCCCATGTAGTCTGGAAAAATCCTGAAACAACTCAGCATCATGGTGTGATTCTTGGTGCTGTCTTGTGCAGGGCCAGGAGCTGGATTTTGATGATCCTTATGGGCTCCTTCCAACTCAGGATATTCTATGATTCTGTGATCATAGTGGGATAATTAGTAAGGAGAAAAAAGAACAATTTTATCTCCTTTAGCAGAAGCTGACTCTGCCAGCAGAGCTGTAAACACTGATGGAACATTTTTCTTACAATTTCAGATCCATTACATGAAGGAAGCTCACATATTTATTTCCATATCAAGTATATTTCTTATTACTAAGATATTACCCTGCAACCCACAAGATTTCCTAACAACTTGTGCCAACTGTTTGTTTAGTGATGTATTTCTCCTTTCCCAAGAGGCTGTGCTCATTTTTCTTGGTATCCTTCCATCCCACTGGTCAGTCAAGGTTATGGTTATTGGCTTTTATGGGGATTTTGCTTGGCCCTGGAATAGTGCACAAGCAGAGCTTTCAGGCACAGCATTTCAGGGGTGCAATGTTTACAGGGACTGTTTTTGTTACAGATGCCATGGTCACAGAAGGAGGGGAAAACTTTAGTGTGGGGCAAAGGCAGCTCTTCTGTCTGGCCCGAGCCTTTGTCCGCAAGAGCAGCATCCTCATCATGGATGAAGCCACAGCATCTATTGACATGGCCACAGTGAGTACAGCAATTAGCTAATTAAGGATCTACCAGGAGAAAGGCATCTTCCCTAAGTGTCAGCCACAAAGCTGTGAGATCTCTGTAGCAGAAAAAGCTGGCAGTGTTTTTGTTTCTCTCAGGATAAAATGAAATGCTCTAGTGAATCCCTGCTTTCACAATTGTGACATTTCCCTGCTGTGAAAGAGATTGTGTGGAATATGCTTGAAAACATGTGAATTAAAATGTAACAAGATGAAGCAACTGTAATGAGCCTTTTCCTCTGACAGGAAAACATCTTGCAGAAGGTTGTGATGACTGCCTTTGCTGACCGCACAGTTGTAACAATAGCAGTAAGTACTAAGCCAGAAAAAGCTCTTTTTTCCTCATTCCTCAGGCAGTTAACCCTGCCCTTCACCAGATAAACACCACTACTTAAAACTAAAAGCATCACAAAATAAAGCTAAACCACGAGGCCAGAATATTCCCATGATACCAGAACAAATCAGACACCTATTATCAACCTGAAATTTTGCAGTAAATATTGTCTTGCTATCAAACTAAAACACTTGGATCTGAACAAAGACTTTACAGGGAACTCCAGCATCTGCACTGTCTCCAACAATATTTGAAATCATTCTTACTAAAAAATTGAAACTAATTGAAACCATGGTTTGAACCATTACTGAAAGTTGTATCAAAATCTACATCATATACTTGGTATGGTTTCTCAAGCTGGGTTATCTTTTCTCTCATTTGGAATAAAAAGCTGGGTTTACAATAAAGGTTTTAAAAACTGGAATCAATGGGAATTACCCCACAAAATAATATCTTTTCAGACAGGAGTTTATGATGTTCTTTCCCATTTTCCTGCCACTCCTAGTGCCCAGAAGTTCCATATAGCCATGCATGTTCATACATGCATGTGCATAGACATGTGGTGGATACCATTAAGAATATTTCCACCTGTGACAGCATCATTAGTCAAGAAACAGAGGTTTTCTCCATGAGATAAATACATGTTTCAATAGCTGTTTCATTTGCCTTGTCTGGAATCCAGTCCTGTGGTTAGAGATTACAGTCAGGCCTCCTGGACTCTGGTTTCAAGCCTGTCAGTGAGTAGTTTGTGTCAAGCAAACCACTTAATCCAGCTCATTTACAATGTGCTCCAAACTTCTTGGCTGTGTAAATGCTGAAGATTCTGGTGGCTAGATTGCTGTCCTTCAGTTCCATGTTGTATTGTCCTTCTGGCTGGAATCTCACTTTTCTTTGGCTTTGCCTTTCCAAAGTCAGTGTCCCAAGTGAAACAACACACATTAATATTTAGCTTTCCTCACATCTTTCCTCCTTCCTCTCCTCATTCACAGCTGATCCTTCCTTCACCCACCTGTTTTTCTGTTCTTTTTTCCAGCATCGCGTGTCGCACATCTTGGATGCCAATGTTATCCTAGTCCTTTCTGAGGGCTTTCTAGTTGAATGTGACACTGCCTCAAACTTACTCCTCAAAGAGGACGGCCTGTTCACCACTTTGGTGAAGACTCACAAGTAGACTCTCAGTCCACATTGTTTACAGGACTTCTGGCTTTTTGGTAGTTATTTTTACCTCTTTAGTCTCCTTTCACTCTGCTTCCTTTCTACTGCACAGCTTCTGAGAGGACAGTGCAAGAAGGTGTTTGTTGTGGGGTTCCCAGGTTTGTTTCATTTCATGACTATTTATGTTGATCATACCTAAATCTTAGACATGCAGCTGACATTACAACTACCATGTCAAAGGAATCCAGCCCATGAAGTGATCTCTCACTTTCTGCCTGTGTAGAGAAATATCACACTTTTAAGAGGTCATCCCATCTATGACTGGCTGTATTCATATGTCCTTCAAATTAAACTCAAACTGATTTCAAACCTGTAGCCTATGGGATTATACTGTTGCCTGGAGCACACTCAAATTAGATCTCAGAGGGATTTGCAGAAGGCAACAGCCCAGGGGTTGTTGCTCTCCCAGATGGAGAGCAGACTGCTGGGGTGCAGAGAACAAGGAGCAGAACAGGATTCTAAGCCATGTGACAGTGCAGGATGCTTCTCATCCCTATTTCCCACAGGGGAAGATGTGTTTCAGTGGGGCCATAGGATTTATTCCAACATCTGTGCTGCCCATAATGGCAAAATGTTAAGCTCATGCTTAAGTATTTTCAGGCTTGATGGCAGAGGCTGTCAAGTAATTGAAGATCTCTTCAGGTTAAAGTACAAGAATCTATTCCAAATATCACTGTGAACAAGGACAGCCTTTCCCTTATGGGTTTTGCCTTGCTTGAGGCCCATTAGTGACAATTATCCAAATGAAAACCTCTGTTTGCTTTCCTTCATGGCAGCACCGGGTTCACACCATCCTCACTGCAGACCTGGTCATCGTCATGAAGCGAGGGAACATCCTGGAATATGATACTCCTGAGAACCTGCTTTCCCAGGAAGATGGCATCTTTGCTTCCTTTGTCCGGGCTGACATGTGAACAGCCACAAAATGCATTTTAACAGCTTATTTTAAACAGATGAAATGCAAATATTTTCTACTCAGTGTAACATCATTTTTACCTTTCTTGCTTTGTTTTTTAGAGCTTCTTTCTTCACACTTCCATCTTCCAAAATAATAAAGCCTATTGCAATACATGTATGCCTTGAAGCATTAAAAATGTCACTTTATTTAAAGCTATTAAACTTGACACACACACACACACACACACACACACATATGCACACACAGAATGGAGAAGTTTTTACTTCCTAGGAATTTGGCATTTTCCTTAGAATTTTTACTGACTTTATTTTTGTTTAAAGAGAGAAAAAGAATGCACTGATCTTATTAAACTTCCTATGTTATGCAGGAACCAGCAATCAAATCGTGCATTTTGTCAAGGAAGCAAGAGGTTCCCCAGATACATTCCGTCCCCAGAGGGAAAAATTAGGAAAGACATCCAAGCCCATAACACTTGGGGCAGTCTGCTGCATTCCAAAGGCATAAGCTCTCCAAGCTGTAGCAGAGGGACAGTGAATGAGGGAAAAGAAATTCATCAGGAATAAAGATCTTCTTCCTGTTGTTCACTTTAGTAAGCACACTTCAGTGGTGACAGAACTTTTTTCAGTGCAATGATGGTTTACTCCTACAGTCAGTTTCTAAATCCATATTAATTCTTACAACTTTCATTAAAGATTCAAATCATCCTATGATTATGCATGCTTTGATAGACTTATAGAGGAATTTTGTACAGTATCTCAAGACTTTATATTAAAATTGATCTGAATTTATAAACTTGATATTAACTAATCCTTTGATCATGTCTACTAAAATATTCTGCTTAAAATGGCATGTAATTAGCCAACCACTAATCATTTTATATGTCTTTTGTCTGTGGACCGGATTTCTCTGAGCCTGAGAGAATTACAGCCTGTCAGTGGCTGATCTGTTCCCAAGAGAAAGTTTCTTGAGAGCTGTCTCGCTCAAGGACGATCTTTGTAAACCATTTTACTTTCTCATAACAGTTCTGTATAACTGTAGATAGTGTGTTTTTCTCTTGTCCCACCAATGGGACAAGAGGTGGTGTTTCCCTAACCAGTTATGTTAAGCCTGTAGAGTAAAACCCTATAAAAACGGAAAAGTTCAAAAAATAAAGACCCCTTTTCCTAAAAACTTGTTCTAGTGTACTGGATTAAGCCCACACTTCTACATCATGTCCAACAGCGACATTGTCCTTCAAGTTCTATTTGGGGACAACCTTTATTTTCCTTTACACATTTGTGGCCTACCTCTAAATAAGATCTAATGCAAAGAGATATGATTTTCAAATTACTTTTCAATTTGAAATTGAATAAATTTCAAATTATAATTTGAAATTTATAATTTGAAATTAGATTTCAAATTATATCCTCAAGAATGTAGATGAAGTTAGACACATTTACATCAGGCAGCTTTGCAAAGGTTACCTGTACATGACTTTCACACATGGTTAGATACTGATCCATGGGCACCAAGCATCCAGAAGGAGTTTTACAGGCATATTTTCAAAGGTACAGCTTGAGAGATCAGCTTCACTGGTACTATTCAAGGTGATTCTTATTCACCTTCTGCTACAAGATTTAGGAAGACCACTAAGTGCACTTAAGTCTATTTTTAATGTCATTAAAACAACTTAAGGCACAGCATTTCTCCCTCCACCCTTCCCCCCCCCCCAAAAAAAAAAGCAATAATTTTGGAGAAGTTGCACGATTTGAAACTGGGATTACATTTAGTCTCATAGTGTAAAAATGATACAGTGGTTTGTCTTTTTTAATTGATTTTTTGACATTTTTATTTTCTCTGAATTATTGAAAATGAAAGCTGTGTGGCACAACTAAACAAAAGAGCTCAGTCTTTAACATTGTATGAGGGGAAGTACTTCCGCGATTTCCCTGTCTACTGCTGTGAAAACATTTTTGTTCTTTTCTGGATCTGTTCCCTGTGCTGACCTTTGTCATTCAAATAAAATACATTTTAGAAAAGCAGATGCCTGCAGCAGAAGCACAAATTGTTATGCAAATTTCACAGCAAAAAGTCCAGAATTATTCTTGATTTAATTTAATTGTCTTCAGCAAAAAGATAATTGGATTCCCTACTGTCAGACTGGGTATAAAGATGAAGTACAAAAAGTTTTCTTGATCTGTGTGTCTTTGGTGATGATGCAACCATGATTTATTTGAAGTGGTGCCAGCCAGTTCAATGAGATCCTTGTACCCACTGCATTAAAGGGTTGCCATGGGCCTGGAACTGTGTCTTGTAATATTTAAGAGGGGCCAATAATTAGCACCTCTTTTCTCTTAGGTTTGTCCCAGAGCCACTACAGGTATGAGAAGCACTTTCTTTGCTCACCCATGGTTTTAGAAGTGAACTCTGCTGTTTGAACATATGGGAAAAAAAATATATATGTGAGAAAATGAATAGTTAACGGGGTGTGTCCTAAGGCTGTCACGTGCACAAGTAAAGGAAACATCAGCCTGAAGACTTTGTTTCTTTGATTCTTGTCACACTGCCTCTTCTGCTGGCAGGCCCTTCTTCTCTTCCACAGCCTCTTTTTTCCTCACCATCTCCTTGTATCATAGACCTTTAAGTCTCCTGCTTCTATCTCTGGATGCTCCTTATTCTGCCAATGCCCTCCCACTCCTTCCCAGGTGAGCTCCATGCCCTTTACTCCATTTCCTCTCTCACATGGCTCTGCACTCACGCTCCTTTCCCCTTTTCCTGTCTTTCCTGTCATAACACCCCTGCTCTTCAGGGGGACACTTACTCTAGTGACATCATGTTTTGGGGTCAGTTTTTTTTTTTTTCTAAGCATTAAACTAAGCAAGCTTTCAGTATTGTGACACTGTGCTTCAGAAGTACGGAGTTCTTCCTTTTGCAAAGGAGATTTGAATGTCATCACTGGCTATGTGTTAATTTAACTATGGACAGAGTAAAGTCATCTCTGGGATAGATCCTAAATACTATTTCTCATCCTGCCTGCATTCATTTTTCTGCTGTTTCTGGGAGAGAAACAGCAAAGTTGTTGCCAATCATAGAATCACAGAATGGTTTGGGTTGGGAGGGACGTTAAAGCTCCTCTTGTTCCACACCCTGCCATAGGCAGGGACACCTTCCACTATCCGAATTTGCCAAGAGCCCCATCCATCCTGGCCTCGGACACTGCCAGGGATGGGGCACCCACAGCTTCTCTGGGCACCCTGTGCCAGGGCCTCAGCACCCTGACAGGGAACAATTTCTTCCTCATATCCAATCTAACCTACACTCTTCCAGTTTGAAGCCATCCCCCCTTCCTGCCACTGCACTTCCTCACAGTCTCTTCCTGCAGGTCCCCTTTAGGTACAGAAATTGGTTTTGCAACTTCTTGTAGAACCACAACAGTGTTTCTTAACCTTACAACTCGTGGGTATCTTTCCCAATCCTTGAGCTGGGTCTAAGGGCTGGCACAGATCAAACTGTTCTCTTCCTATATGTGGCCTTTCATCAAACTCATCACAACTCATAACAGCTTATTCCTGCTCTTTCCAAACTAGAAATATCCCATACAGTCTTTACTGAGCCCAATCTTAATCGTGCTAGGAAACACTGGAACTTCCCCTGAGCAGTTTGGGATAGCTCTTTTAAACCAGGGGCACAAGCAAGACAAAGTCCCTAGGGAGAGATCTCTGCTTTGTTAGGCCAAGTGATATGCACAAGAGGTATCTCAAGTGTTTAAAAGTTCCAGTTGCACTGCAGACCTGAAAAAGCTCTTTATTTGCAGGAGTTTGTCTGCTTTTCCCAACTGTATCATTTAGCTGAATGAATATATTCACCAACACTTCTCAAGGACTTAGACAAGCCCCTTTTAGGTTTGTTATAGCAGAACACCTCTACTTTAAATTCATACACCTTCATAGAACTCAGTACCAAAAGCAATACAGCACAAAGAAGTTTGCATCTCATTATATATAAAACCTCTGCAGAAAGCAATAATATTGAATTGTGTTTTCTTAAAAATACAATTTCAAATGTGGTCAAGTAGTAAAAACTCCTTGTACAGTAAGTTGTTTCATTTGATTGAATGTGTTTCTTTTGCTTCCCAAAGCAGTGGACTATTGTGCTTTATTGTGTAAAGATGTCAATACATTTACAGGCAATTTTGTTAATTCATCATGAAAAACTGAAGGAAACCTCACATGAGCATTTTACATAAATGCTTGTAGGTATTTTATAAAAAAAATAAATGGAGATATAATGCACTTGAGTCAACAGCTACCTTTATAAAAAAGCTGTGGACAGGGGCCATGTTTTCATTATCATGCTTCCATTGTCCAGTGTCAGAAGCTGGAGTTTGTTCCCCTTGGGAAGCACTATAACCCCGTGTCCCCATTGTGATACTGCCAGTCAAAATCAACTCTAAAATATCCACTGAAACCACAGTGCCACTTGTAAACACCTCTCTGGAGCAATGATTCTCACACTAAACGTGATTAAAAGCAAAAATTAACTGAGCATACTTGCATCCTCAGGTAGCATCTTATAAAAGCTTTATTCAAAATCTAAATATATTATGTAAATTCTCTGATATGAATTCCATGGTGGCATGTGAAGAACTCCTTAGTTTCTTTGGAAACTAAATACTTTCAGAGGCAAAACTAAGAGACTACTAAAAGAAGTCTGAAAACAAAACTGTAAATCAAATTATCCATTGCCATGCAAACATCCCAATAATTTCATTGCTTTTTTACTGCTCTGTTTTTTCTCCATTAGAATTGAACTCTGTGCAGAGCTGTAGGAAAAGACTATCAGGTACTCAAATGATGAAAAAAATTGTTGTGAGGCAAAAGTTTGCTGACTTGTACAAATTAGCAACTTGCTGATGATGTTTTGTTTTGGCAGGACAGCTTCAAGTATTGGCTTGAATGAAGCCAAGAAGCTTCCAAGTGTAATCTGTCAAGAGAAAAGAGATTTTTAGAAAATCTATTTCCTACAGTTACTATTAAATATTCACTATTGATAGCATTTGTCTGCTGCTAGATACTACCCATGTAAACAGAACAGACATTCCTGGCAGTGGCTGCACATTTCTCTAATATAGTAAACCACATTCTGAACACTATAAACAAACAGTTATTTAAAATACCTTTTTAATTGGTTTCTATTAGGTGTAATTGTCATTTATCACATGCAAGATGCCTCCTTTCATTTTCATGGAACATGGGGATTTTCATCCCATGAGCTGCTATATAATAATGCAGCATCCAGCTCACAACAGCACACTTCACATTTCAGTGGCCCCTGCAACTCATTCCCATGTATGTATATTAGTCTGCTTTATACATAAATACATTACATGGCTATACGACCTTTGGATTAAAAGTACAAGTAAGTAATGAACAGTCCCAGCTAGGACTGCCCAGAAGAGTTCCTCACAGCTATTCCCATGACATTTCTTAACTCTCCCTTTAATTTATTTCAGGATTTTCAGGCTATATCCATAAATATCATTCAATGTGCAGTAAAATATTTAAGCATGTAATTAAGGAACTAATGCAGCTTCATGTAAATGACATGGTCTAGAACTACCATCCTTCAGGATCACAGCTACAGATGCCCCAAGGCAGCATATTTAATGGTTATATGTATTTTTATTCTACCAGCCACATTATTAGGCCCTTACTTCTGCAGCAATATGACCATTAGACTTCTCCATCATAGGCAGGAAGGTAGAAGTCAAAGAAACTCTGAGTACTGCATATGTTCATGGCTGAATCATTCAGATTTGGGTCCATCTACTTCTTCAGGTCCCACCAGAGCATCTGAGATTTGAGGGTTTGGAGTTGCCAGATATTCTGTGATAAAATCTGAAGGTGAGACATGACATCTCGCTTCTGAAACTGGCATAATCTTAATTTAACCCTGGAAAAGTCGGGGAGATAGAGAAGGGAAGCACCTAAGGGACACCACATTCTAGGAACACAGCTGAAGACTCACAGTAACACATGTTCATTTTACCTAGAAATTGATTTACAATGTCCCCATAAATTAAGGCACGGGAAAGCAAGGAAACAATCCCAGTCTGGGGTTGCTCTTCCCAGAGCCTTAGGATAAATTCCAGGAAAAAGCACGTAATGAACAAGCTTCACGATGCAACTTACATTGGACAAGGGGCACTAGTTACATGTATTCTGATATAAAAACTATTTTTGTCCTACTGCTCTTGCATGAAGGGGGGGCCGGGGGAGGGGCAAGGAAGAGATGGTTCAGGGTAACAGATGCCCTTAGTTTGCAGTTTCTGCTGTTTCTGTTGATGGATGTCATGCCAGCTTATGTAGGGAAGAGTTCACCCACACTATCCGAATATGGCTTCGTGTCTCTGTGAAAGCCTCACTCAAAGTGCATGACATCTCTGGACGCCTGCAAAGTCATCCTATCTCTAAGCTAAGATTAGAATTTCAAACAAAACTTATTACAAAGCAGGATTTTCTGAAAGGGCTGGACATGGCTATAATGTGGAAATTTCAGATTCATGTCTAAGCGCATTATTTAATCCTGTTTTGTAGATAGGCATAATGGTAAAGTAATATTTACTATAATATCAGTAATGCTTGTGGGTGGAGGAGAAAGAAAGCAAGAAGGAGACACATGAAGGACCATAAGAAAACTGGACCTACAACTGCCATCAATTCTGATAATTTTTTTTCCTGAAGAGGCTGTGTTCACAACACTCAGACACTCTGTTCCTTACCAAATGTGTTAGGAGACATTTTAGGAGATTTTCCCAGCTATTACTTAAATCTCAGACTCAAGTGTTCATGTGGCAAACAAGCAAGTATTTAAAAGGTCAGAGGGGAAGGGTTTTAGTAGCTGTCACTCTCCAGAGCATATTCATACACAGAAACTTGGGGAAATGGATGCTGTGCTCAGAATCATGTCTGGAGCTCCTGATCCTCACATCCCTGTGGTCATGGCCCAGCAGGCTTCCTCAAAACTCATCTCCAGTAGAAGTGATGAGGAAGGCATCTCTTCCAGCTTTGAACAGGTAGAGAGGAAAAGATGGGATTTTATAAGCACTTTTCCTGCAATGTATGATGGTGGGTAAAAGGCTCAGTAACTTTTGTTCAGCTACACTGGAGCTGTGCCAGGACTATTTGTGTGTGTTTGATGCATCCCTTCCTATCTCAGCTACAAGAATTCCAGCCTCTGCATGGTACCCAGTTAAGAAGGAGGAAACCTCCAGCAGGTTAGTAGGGAACATGTGGTCCTGAGAG